CTCAAGCTGAGTTCAACTCTTTAGACAAAGCTTACCTCTTTCAACCCATTGCCAATCAGGAAATTTTTGAATCTACCTGTCAGAGACGTGTGAACCAGAGCAACTCCTTCTTACATATGAGCTGGGTAAAACAAGGCTGAGACCTACTGGACTGCACTCCCAGATGGTTAGGTAGTCTAAGTCACAGGATGAGATAGGAGGCCAGCACAAGATACAGGTCATAAAGACCTTGCTGATAAAACAGGCTGCAATAAGGAAGCTGGCTGAATCCCACCCAAACCAAAATGGCAACAAGAGTGACCTCTGGTCCTCCCAACTGCTACACTCCCACCAGTGCCATGACAGTTTGCAGATGTCATGGCAACATCAGGATGCTACCCTACATGGTCTAAAAAGGGGCGGCATGAATAATCTACACCCTGATTAGCATATCATCAAGAAATAACCACAAAAATGGGCAATCAGCAGCCCTCAGGGCTGCTTCATCTAGGGGTAACCAATCTTTTGTTCCTTTACTTTCTTAATAAACTTGCTTTCACTTTATGAACTGGCACTGAATTCTTTCTTGCGTGGGATCCAAGAATGCTCTCTTGGGGTCTGGATTGGGACCCCTTTCCTGTAACATCTTTCTGGTGACCATGGAAGGAACCATAGTGTGGAAACCCTTGACCCAAAGGGTAACTTTGGGTAAGTGGTGGGGTCTGGTAACATCTTTCTGGTGAATCATGGAAGGGATGATACTGAGGAGACCTCTCGATCCAAAAGAAGTAGACTGCACCACTGATTGGCGGACTTTGAATAAGTGGTGGGGTACCTGGGTAAAGGATGGGATTGGGTTAGAGGCCCAACTTGGGGGACTTAGAGTCTCTCCTAAAACACAGTGGGTTAGAGGGGCCTCTTAAGAAAAGGTAAGGACACCTGACCAACCCTGGGTTAGAGGCCCCTCTCAGTAAGGTCCCTCTAGGTAAAGTCCCTTCTGGCTAAGAACAGGTTTGGCACTACGAGATGTTAACTGCTATTCTCTTTGGATTAATCTGCCTTGCACTCTTTGCTGATGGCTGTGAGTGACAGAATTAGGCATGTACAGGATTGTGGGACTTGGGGAGTTTTTTCCTCCCTAAACGGGGAAACTTGAGAGCTGATGGGACTGTGGAAAAGATCCCTTCATGACTGACAAGCAGCCACCGGAACTTTTCAGTGTGGCTGCAATGGGTAGGTCTTTCTCTGACCTCCCTGAGCGCCTCGCGTTCCCCATGCTGCCTCAGGCAATGCTTTCTCTCTCTGTGCAAACTGGTTGAATAAATTGTAAAAATAATTGTTTATCTCCTGTAAAGTTTTGATAAATGGAATAAAGGATTTGTGAGGCTAGTCTTCAGCTGTAGCCAACCAGGTCTGGTGTGATTTGCGCATCTTTCTGTATTGTTCTGTCATAAAGAGGAGTGCCTTGAGATAGAGCATGGACTTAGGATACCTGTAAGCCTGCTTTTCAAGACAGCTCAGCAAACCGGTCAGTTACAAACATTGCTGCAGGTCCCTGAAAAAACTGGACGAGGTTTCCTTCTTGTCTTCTATGTTCTTGGGAGCTTGACCTTGTAACCACACGGCCATGCTTTCTCTTTTCACAATGGTGGCCCAGGTTCAGGGTTCAATTCCTGGCTTGGAAAATAAGTTATCTCCTATGTATTTATATGTATTATGTGTGTGATGTTTATATATGAAAGAGCTTTAATTGGTTTAAAAATAAGTGCTTAAATATTTTGTCAGAAAAGTAAAAAGTGTAATGCCTTTTAGTTCATATGACTTAAGTAATCTTTGGGAAATAAGGATTTTTAAAGATTATTGGTAAAATGAAAATATCTTCAAACATGTAAACATGTGGTCTAAATTATGCAGGTCAGATATTAAGTTTGCTAAATGCTTTAAGGTCATAAACTGCTTCTTTGACTTTTAAAATTTATTCAGTTTCCTACTCTGGAGCATTAGATTCCAGATAAGGCCAGGGACATGTGGAGTTAGCCATGCCCCTAGCTATGCTGGAGTCTGCCCTTATCTGCACTTCTGCCTGGCATGTCCTAGGCTAACTTCCACACCTGGTACACAATTAGAACCCCCAACTTACCAAGGTTTTCACCAAAAGTAAGTCACTAAGAATTAACATTGTAACATGTAATTAAGACTGCTAAAAAAAGTTTTAAGTGCAAGATGTGTAAGAAAAGTGAAATGTGTCTTTTGGTAAAAGATTATAAGAAGACATGAGAATGTGAATTTTTCTTACCTAGATGAAAGGGTTAAAAGATTGTTTTAGGCCAGGCATGGTGGCTAACACCTGTAATCCCAGCACTTTGGGAGGCTGAGGTGGGTGGATCACGAGGTCAGGAGATCAAGACCATCCTGGCTAACATGGAGAAACCCTGTCTCTACTAAAAATACAAAAAAAATTAGTTGGACGTGGTGGCAGGAGCCTGTAGTCCCAGCTACTTGTGAGGCTGAGGCAGAAGAAAGGCGTGAACCCAGGAGGCGGAGCTTGCAGTGAGCCAAGATCACGCCACTGCACTCCAGCCTGGGTGACAGAGCAAGCCTCTATCTCAAAAAAAAAAAAAAAAAAAAAAAAACAAAAGATTATTTTAAATTAGAATCAAGCTGAAGCTTTAAGCAAGTTGTGGAAGGCTTGTGAAAAGTTAATCTTGTAAAAAAATTCTGTGTCTGAACAAATTGGCTAAAGTTAAAGCAGTATTATTCAGTTTTTCTGTAAACTGAACATTGGAATAAAAGCACAACAGGTTTTTTCTTAGAGCAAAAACCTCCCTATGATCTGCTCTTTAATAAAAATGTGTAAAGGTAAGTTATCAAAGGCTTATGAGAATCTTACCTTATGGCCAAACTGATTAAGATTGAAGATATTTGTCTATAAGATTTCATTAAGAATTAATTGGGTTTGACATCAATGGTGCACTAATGCAACAGTGACATTTGGCTTATTTGGTACAAAAACCACTCAGGAAGCATTATCAAATGTGAAATGGTGTTTGGTTTTCTTTGGGCTATATTTATATAAATGTGTTATTGGTATATGTTTCAAAAATATGGGAAAATCCTATAATTCTAATGTGACTTAGTGTATGTTATTAATAATTATAATTGTTACATAAAATCATTGTATGCCAAGAAGGCAACCAAATTTCATGTTTTTGATTGTGGCTGCCCTAAAACATTTTGTTATCCACAGACAATTGTCTTGTTGTAATCCTTTTTAGAAGGTGGTTTATAACCAACTATAGAGCTCTAACAGGTATTCTTAAATGCAGGTTTTTAATAACTTTGGAAATTGTGATATTAGAAGAGAGAAAAAACTTTCAGAACTCTCATAGAAAGCTGAAATGTTAATGAATATCAAGCAAAATAGGCGTTAACTAAATTAACCGAACCAATAAAAAACTGAAGTAATGTTTTTAACTTTACTTAAAATGTTGCTGATCCTTTGTTTTGTTTTTCAGAGTCAAGGAAACTTTTCTTTTGAGCTATTTACAGCTTTTAGCAATTGAGTAAAATATACTCCTGAGTAAACTATACTCCTGTGAACAAAATTTGGAGCATATTTCTCTGATTTCTTCAGAATTTGGAAACTGTTTGTGAGTATTCTTAATTTATGGCAATATAGTTATTTGCATAAACACAATAAAAATCTGATTTCTTTTGTAACAGGACACAATTAGAAAAACTGGTTATTTTACCAAGGCTTTAACTGGAATGGGATGCTTTGCATTAAGGAATCACACTTGACTTGTAAAGCCAATAAAAGCCCCTTGGGGAAACGCCTCATATTTTGTCTTCACAGTCCCTGTATGGGGTTCCTGACCTGTGGTAAGTAAAGAATGTCACTTTCTAACAGGTCCAGGAGCCCCAGGCTACCTTGAGGCCTCAAGAGGAGATGAATTTATTCAACTCATAAGTACTTGAGGGTACAAACCCGTGGCAGGGCCCGGCTCTAAAGAAGTCTTATCTGAGATTCCTTCTATGGAACAGAGTTCCATCAAAGCCAATTTAAAAAGAGCTTATGTGAAAAACAATTATTCTTGCTGTACTTTATACAAATAATCAGGCCAAGTATAATGAAGCAAATCCGTCTTACCATGATTTGTCTTTAGTAAAAATGGAAAATGGGAAACTACAGAAATTAGTTTCAAGAACTATGGCACACTTCTCAAATTCTAATTTCATCAGTTGTTTTTAAGTTTGTTTCTGCAATTTAGGCTAACCCTGCTTATTCCTGTGAACCAACCAGTGATCTCTGCCTGCTGCTCAGAAGAAACAAGAGGGATGGGTAATGTAAAAATCTGGATCAGTATTCTAATTCTGGGCACATTAGAATCAGCTAACCACCCCATGTCAGCCTGGTTCCACCAATTGCTCAGTTCATGGAAAGCCTTCTAATTCGGTTTACTTGTGATAGTTTTGCTTATTCTGTTATATTGCTGTTCTACCCTTTGTGTAGGAATGCAGGATAAGCTTACTGAATGTTTTCTTAAACAATAATCTTTCAGATATCACCTTTTGTCAGAACTCAAGTCATGAATGGCTTTCACCATTCCAAGGCTTTCTGGCTGAGCTCTTCTCTACCCTGAACAGAAGAGACCTTAATAGGCAAGGGTATCATTGACCCTATTCAGCCTAAAGAAGTTACAGAAGATGGTTCTTCATCCCTCTGCAACCCTTAGGATTAAAAGTTCTCTTACAAAAGGGATGGGGGAAATGTCAGAGGTGTGTGAACCAGAGCAACTCCATCTTGAATAGGAGCTGGGTAAAATGAGGCCGAGACCTACTGGCCTGCATTCCCAGTCACTTAAGGCATTAAGTCACAGGATAAGATGAGGTCAGCACAGGATACAGGTCATAAAGACCTTGCTGATAAAATGGGTTGCAATAAGGAAGTCAGCTAAAACCCACCAAACCCAAGATGGCCATGAGAGTGACCTCTGGTCGTCCTCACTACTACACTCCCACCAGTGCCATGACAGTTTACAAATGCCACGGCAACGTCAGGAAGTTACCCTATATGGTCTTAAAAGGGGAGGCATGAATCCACCCTTTGATTATTATATCACCAAGAAATAACCATAAAAATGGGCAACCAGCAGCCCTTGAGGCTGCTCTATGGAGTAGTCATTCTTTTATTCCTTCACTTTCTAAATAAACTTGCTTTCACTTTACGCTATGGATTCGCCCTGAATTCTTTCTTGCATGAGATCCAAGAACTCTCTCTTGGGGTCTGGATGGTGACCCCTTTCCTGTAACACACCTATACTTAGAAGCTCGTTTTCAGACCTTTCTGGGGTGAACCAATGTGCACCTTCCATGCACTGACTGACGTCTCTGCCTCTAACTTCTGTCCCCCTAAAATGTATAAAATCAGGCTGTAACTCAGCAATCTTAGGCAGCTATTCTCAGGACCTCCCAGGGCTGTGTCACAGGTCATAGTCTTCACATTTGGCTCAGAAAAAAACCTCTTCAAATATTTCACAGAGCTTGGCTTTTTGTCAACACTGCCAGTAAAGTGTGCCAGCTCCCAAATTTGAGGAATGAGGACCTTTCCAACAGGTGGATATGAAAATGCAAACCACATGGTGACATTGTGGCCACAGGCATCGCAAAGTTCTCCTGCACAAGAACCCGTCGTGCCTGACATGGTGACATAGTGGCCACAGGCATCACAAAGTTCTCCTGCACGAGAACCTGTCGTGTCTGACATGGTGACATCGTGGCCAGGGATTGCAAAGCTCTCCAGCACGAGAACCTGTCGTGTCTCACATGGTGACATTGTGGCATCGCGAAGCTCTCCAGCACGAGAACCTGTCGTGTCTCACATGGTGACATTGTGGCATCGCAAAGCTCTCTGGCACGAGAACCTGTCGTGTCTGACATGGTGACATCATGGCAAGGCATTGCAAAGCTTTCTGGCACGAGAACCTGTTGTGTCTGACATGGTGACATCATGGCCAGGCATCGCAAAGCTTTCTGGCACGAGAACCCGTTGTGTCTGACATGGTGACATAGTGGCCAGGCGTTGCAAAGCTCTTCTGCACGAGAATTCATTTGTGTCTGATATGGTGACATCGTGGCCAGGTATCGCAAAGCTCTTCTGCACGAGAACTCGTCGTGTCTCACATGGTGACACTGTGGCATCACAAAGCTCTCCAGCACAAGAACCCATCGTGTCTGACATGGTGACATAGTGGCCAGGCATTGCAAAGCTCTCTGGCATGAGAACCCGTCATGTCTCACATGGTGACATCGTGGCCAGGCATCGCAAAGCTCTCCAGCACGAGAACCTGTCATATCTCACATGGTGACACTGTGGCATCGCAAAGTTCTCCAGCACGAGAACCTGTCGTGTCTGACATGGTGACATAGTGGCCAGGCATTGCAAAGCTCTCTGGCATGAGAACCCGTCATGTCTGACATGGTGACATCGCGGCCAGGCATCGCAAAGCTCTCCAGCACGAGAACCTGTCATATCTCACATGGTGACACTGTGGCATCGCAAAGTTCTCCAGCACGAGAACCCGTCGTGTCTCACATGGTGACATAGTGGCCAGGCATCGCAAAGCTCTCCAGCACGAGAACCCGTCGTGTCTCACATGGTGACACTGTGGCATCGCAAAGCTCTCTGGTACGAGAACCCGTCGTGTCTCACATGGTGACATTGTGGCATCACAAAGCTCTCCAGCACGAGAACCCATCGTGTCTCACATGGTGACACCGTGGCCAGGCATCGCAAAGCTCTCCAGCATGAGAACCCATTGTGTCTGACATGGTGACTTTGTGGCTACAAGCATCACAAAGTGCTCCTGCATGAGAACCCGTCGTGTCTGACACCAAAGTCAAATGTGTTTATTTCTGTAAACCTTGAACATACCCTTGACCTTGAACAACTTCTATGACCTGCTGGTGGAAAAACAGGTAGTTTCAGACCAAAGGCTGGACTAGACCACAAACCAAGGTCCCAAGTGATAAAAAAGATAAAACATGAAAACCCCTCCAGAGATGCCCAAAGCTCAGTTACTCGGGAGACAAGGACAGCTGGGGCCTGCTCCAGAGGGCAGTGAGGCAGGAGTGACCGTGACTCCAACTCAGGCTGGCCACCACCAAGAATCTAGCTGCGGGCACATCAGAGGACTTCGGAGCCTGTTCCTTCTCGCTTAGAAAAGCTACAGGTCTAGGCAAAGGAGCCGTCCACACACACACACAGTCTGAGGCGTCCTGTGAGGGGGACCCCGATGGAAATCTGCATGACCCTGGCTGACAGCCCACCCAGGCCCAACTGCTCTCTTGGGCTGGGACCCCCAGGCAGTGGCGCTGGGGACCCCTGGGCCCGTGAGGCCTGTGGGTGGCAGCCTCAGTGGGGAGTGAGGCCCTCTGACACTGGCAGGCACCACTGACGTGTTCTCTGGGTTTGTACTAGGAACCGCACCATCGAAATCGCCAAGGGCCTGAGCACTCTCTCTCATTCCCATTCTCTCTGAAAGCAGGAAGAGTATCATAGACAAAACACACTTAAACCATGAAGAGTTTGTTTAAACCCAAGGGAGCTTCTAAACCAGAGCAAGATGAATTCAGGTAGGGGTGCTCCTGGGTTCAACTGATGATGGACACCAGCGTCTCAGCCTACCTATTGCGTCTGAGCCCTGTGCTGGGGCCCTCGGGCACCAGGGAGGTCCCATGGCTTCTGATCCCACTTGGCCACTTCCTGCTGCCTGCCTGCGGCAGTGTCCAACCTGTTGGGGCCAGTTTCCTCCTCTGCAGACACAGCTAACGGCACAACTCAGCCCACACGGTTGGCTGAGGGTCCCATAAGATGATGAATCCTGAGTGCTCAGCAAGGCGCTGGCTGGCAGGCGGTAGGTGCTCATCAAAGAAGCCACTAATTACCCCTCAGAGGCCCCTGGAGCCCCAAAGGGGTGGGATGTAGTGGTGGGGTGTCCTGCCCCTTTTCTAAACATGAAAATGAGCTTGAGAAGTGGTTTCTGGTGCTGGAAATTCAGTTTTTAAAACCATTCTGGACCATGCCCTTCAGACGCTCAGAAGTTCTCTGCGCTACTCGGAAAAATAAGAACTGGTCCTAGTTGGTTCAGCACCGTCCTGAGACACACTGAGTCACATCTGTTTGATGAACTGTGGTGACAAGAGCGTGGCCACAGGGGTCAGGGGGCACCAGAGTGACCCAACTCCCTGCTACTGATGACAAAGCCCTTCCGTGCCCTGAGCAGATGAGAGGTTAAGAAGCAGGACCCAGACGCCAAGACGGCACTGCTCTGGGAACCTAACACTGGGAAGGGCAGCCAAGCCCACGGCCCTGCGGGGAGCAGGAGTGACCAGGGGAGGCGTGCACCGATGGCCCCGGTCTGCTGCAATCAGGCTGTGGCTAGCGCCATGGGGACAGGCCACATGTGTGCAAGGACCTGCTGGGCAGACTCTGCAGGAACAAACAGATCAAACATGTTACGAATAAAGCGATTTGTATATAACTGGCAGGGGGGCGGGGGTTGGAGACTGAATCGCCCACTCAAATCATTACTTTTTCAAAAAACATTTCCTCGACGGACATTTCCAGCTCCACAAAAGAAAGTAATCAAATAGATGTCCCTCCTTAAGTCTTAAACCATGACATTCAGATGATCTATGTGCAAATTAATAAGGTTATGACATAATTTGATCAGGTGACAAAGCCGAGGGAGAGCTGACAAAGAACCAGACTGGCACCACTGACTTCTTCATGAAGTGGAGCTCTGGAAAAAATCTAGACAAATCACAGGTTGTCTGACCAGAAAACCCCTGACTATGGGCTGTCTACTTTAGAGTCAGGAGCTGAACCCTGAAACCTGAATGTGCGAAATTCTAATGATCAAAAAACCCACAGCGCGTCGCAGACATGATCACGTGCATTTCTTTTCCACGCTGCAAATCACCACAATCCCAGAGTAGCCCAGCCGGCCGGGCGCCTCCCTCCCGTCCGCCTGGGCGGTGAGGTCAATCAGCAGTTTAAGCGCAGAGGTGCGGGCTCAGAAGGCAGCAGCAATCTCCAGCGTGTTCTGGAGTCAGAGGTTGAGGTCCACGTCTGATTAGTTCCCTTCGTTTCATTAGACTTGGCTGAATGTGTGCCGGCGCCACTACAGCTTTGATTTCAGACTTCCTATGACAGGTTTGTTCACAGAAAACTCTGGCCACCAGGACGCCCGCTCCAACACCTTGCTTTCCTGCAGGACAGTGCCCCAGAGGTTTTTGTAGAGCTGCAAACAACACGTACATAGCAAGTGAAGGCAAAGAAATAAGAAGGAAAAGATTCCTAGACAGCTGAGTGTGCAAATGCAACTCCTCAAAGTTTTTGTTAAAAACACAGGAAATTCGGCCGGGCGCGGTGGCTCATGCCTGTAATCCCAGCATTTTGGGAGGCCGAGGTAGGCGGAACACCTGAGGTCAGGAGTTCGAGACCAGCCTGACCACCATGGAAAAACCCCATCTCTACTAAAAAAAAAATTCAAAATTAGCCAGGCGTGGTGGCACATGCATGTAATCCCAGCTATTCAGGAGGCTGAGGCAGGAGAATCACTTGAACCTGGGAGGCGGAGGTTTCGATGAGCCAAGATTGCACCATTGCACTCCAGCTTGGGCAACAAGAGTGAAACTCCATCTCAAAACAAACAAACAACAACAACAACAAAACGGAAATTCTCTCACTTTTTAGAGAAATTTTAAAATGATTTAAATTTATATGAACTTTTTTTTTTTTAGTAGAAAACAATTAGGAAAATTCAATTATAAAGTACCATAAAACACACTTATAATGAAAATCACCCCCTCGCCCTCGCCCTCTTCTTTGGAAATTATTGGCTAGGTGAGGTGGCTCGTGCCTGTAATCCCAGCACTCTGGGAGGCTGAGGAAGGCAGATCACTTGAGCTCATGAGCTAGAGACCAGCCTGGGCAACATAGAGAAACCCCATCTTTAAAAAAAAAAATGCAAAAAATTAACTGGACATGGAGGAGTTCACCCGTAGTCCCAGCTACTTGGGAGGCTGAGGTGGGAGGATTGCTTGAGCCCAGGAGGTTGAGGCTACAGTGGGCCGAGATCGTGCCACTGCACCCCAGCCTGGGTGACAGGGTGAGATCCTATCTCAAAAAAAAAGAAAAGGAAATGATTGTGGGCAGTGGACACCCTGTTTCTTAGTAATTGCAGCCACCACAGGATTCTGCAAGGCTGCATCGACGGCCGCTCTGAAATCTGCTCTCACACCCCAGGCCGCTACAGGCCGCACAGGTGGCACATGGCCACCAGCAGCAGGACGCCCTCGCCTGGTGGCCCTTACTGGCTGACTCTGGGACCTGGGCCACCACACCCTGCTCCTCTTGTCCTGCCCCAGGCCAGCACTCCCCTACGGGATGTGCAGACTTCCCTGCTCTCAGCCTAAGCAGCCTCACTGGGAAGATGGGGAGAGACTCTGCTCCTGTCTTGGAGGACGGCTGTACAAACAAAGGGCGAAGGGCGGCTAAGCAGACACTTCACCCGTGCAGGTGGGAAGGGGCAGCCCAGCCCATCTCCAGAGCCTGGGGAGGTGGTCTATTTTGCATCCAGCTTATGTTGACCCTTTTATTTACAAGAAACCCCTCTGCCTGTCCCCGCTAAATGTACTTAGCAACCCCTCCTCCCCACTCTGCTACTCTGGGCTCCACAAATGCAGATCCAGGCTGCTGCTCCACAGGGCCTAGGTCCCAGCTTACGTTTCACAGTTTGGAGCAGCAGGCTTGGTTTAAGGATGGTCTTAACTCCCCTACGGCTCTGTTTGTCCGTTTACAGTGAATTTCTTACCTGGCAGCTCCTGGTTAATACACCAGTTCCTTGCAACTGGGAGAAATGTACTTTTTTTTTCTCTGAGATGAGGTCTCTGTTGCCCAGGCTGGAGTGCAGTGGCACGATCACTGCTCACCACAGCCTGGACCTCCCCAAGCTCAGGAGATCCTCTCACCTCAGTTTTTGTAATTTTTATGGACGGGGTTTTGCTCTGTTACCTAGGCTGGTCTCAAACTCCTGCGCTCAAGGGATCCGCCCGCCTCAGCCTTCCAAAGGGCTAGGATTACAGGTGTGAACCACCACGCTCAACCAGGAATGCACGTTTTATAAACCATCCTGCCAGCGACACCTCCAGTCGGCTCTGGTTTTATCTGTGGAACCGAGCCAGAGGGGCCCCTCCATCATGGGCACGGTCTCTCCTCTCCTGGGTTGTTCCCTGCCTCTGCAGAGCAAGGCGCAGCCAGTGGATGCTCCAGGCTGCTCCTGAACGGGGCAGACAGTCCTGTGTGCTCGGGGGTCCTCCATGGCGGGTCTGGCTCCACTGTCTCTTCGAATGCCTGTCTACCTGGTGAGCCCCCTACCTCCTGGTGAGACTGCCTCTCCCAGGGAGGTGGGTAGGGCAAGTCTCCCTCCTACGTGCTCCCCCAGGATCCAAGGCTCCCCCCAAGTCTTCTCTCCCTACAGCAGGGCACAGTTTCTTCAAATCCTGGCTCCGCCACTCCCTGGCCGGGAAACCCACTGGGCTTCTCTGGATCTCAGTTCTCAGCAGCAGTGATCATCTGGGCTGTGTGGGCTCAGGGGATGGTCGGTGGTCAGCCCCCCGATGCGGGACAGCAGGCCCTCCGCAGAGATGACCATCCCTGCCTCTCCTACTACTGGGAACTCTCACCTCCTGCCCTGCTCACCCGGCCCCTGGCACTACCTGCCTCTTGGCACACCTAGCCCAACCCAGGTGTAGCCTGGGCCATGCTGAGGCCAGGCACTGGGCCCTCCCTGGCTAAGCCAGTAAGGACTCAGGCACGGACTTCAGCATTCCCTGAGGACTGAGGGTGGAGTCCTGCCCACTAAGGCTGAATCTCCATTTGAGCAGAGACCCAGGTGCTGGCAGATGCCTCAGCAGAAAGAACTCAGTCGTGGGGACAGGGGGCAGGAATGGGGTTGACCCCTCTGTGGCTCACAGCTGGGGGACCTCAGGGCACGGGACATGAGCACTGACACGCCGAGTCCCTCTAGCAGAAGATGGACACAGCCCTATAAGCAGTGGGGTGCTGCAGGGCACCCAGTGGACCTGTGAGCGTCACCCCTCGAGGGCATCATCAGGTGGGAGGGAGACACAGGGTCAGTGATGAGGCCAGCAAGGGCCACACTGCAGTGGCTGGGGCACTGCCTCAGCTGGACGCCAGAGAAGGCCTCTCCAAGGCAGCGAGTCAGCTTATACTGAAAGAATGCAAGGCACTCCAGGCAGCCAGAGCAGCAGGCACAAAGCCCTGGGGTGGGCACGGGCCTGGCACGACAGATGGAGAGGCCAGTAAGGCTGGATCTGGTGGGCAGGAGGGGAGCGTGGGGTGAAGGACCCTGGAGGGATGCAGTGGCTGCCTGGGGCTGGGGCGTGGCAGGGTCAAGGAGGCTGGTGGAGGCTCCCTCGGGGAGCAGCCCAACTCCATCTGCTTTGAAGAAATCATTATGGAACATGGGGGGCTGGGGAGCCACAGGGAGCCAGCTGGGGGAAAGTGGGACAGGGGAGAGTAACCCCAGTGACAGCCATGGATGGTCAGAGGGGACAGAGGGGCCTGGGGATTCCAGGACAGGGATGGGGGAGAGACCTGCATGGCCAGGAGCCTGCATGGTCAGATGGGGGTAAGACCTGGGACCGGGGAGGCCAGTGGGGAGTGGGAAGAGGGCAGAGGCCACAGTGTGTGGACCTCCAACTTCTGCCTGTGCAGGCGGGCAGTGCCACCACCCCATCTCGAGAGGAAAAAGCAGGCAGGGGACGGGAAAATCCCCTGCAACCACAGAGCCAGCATGGCAAAACACCAGAATGAGGCTGTCCCGACTTGTCCTGGGCCCTCCCCACAGAAGCTCCCCCAAGTGTGACCACTTTCCAGAAGCCACCAGACCCCCGACCCACAGGAGCATCTCAGCTCCACAGAAATGCCCATCGGCCCTTGGGGCGCCCCTGTGAGGCCCTGTCCTCCCTTTACCTCGCCGTCCGCTCTGCCAATCGGTGAGTCCAGAACAAAGTCAGGAGGAGCGATCACGTCTACCAGGGCAACCGCGTCGTCTTTCAGCTGTTGGAAAACAAAGCCCAGACACTTGGCACCTCCCGGGAATTTCCATGGTGACCAAAGGGTAACAGCCCTGTCCGTGTTTGCTAGGACCCACTAGCAACGGGTAACCTGAGCGGCACGTGCGGCTCTGCTGCCAATGCGTGATCTCGTCACTGGCCTGGATTCGAGTCCCTGGCTATGCGCGGGAATGTTTTCACCATGCTGCTTTTCACTCAGGACTGCCAGGGCTTGTTTCTTCCCAACAAGGTAGAAAAGGCCCTTAAAAGTGACGACCCTGCAGCTCGTGAATTAGCAGCTGCCTCCGGAGGCTCATTTCTAAGCCTTGGCTTATGTGGGCAACTGCTGTTCCAGTAAAGGAAAATATGTCCAGAAAACATGTAATAGAAAAGGCATTTATGAGCACTTGGAAAAGCCATAAGCATACAAAGCCTCCTCGGTTGGCAGTGGTTTTATTACTCTCCTATTCCACTGAACAAATTATTCTTCAATATGACACACGAAATTTATATGAGTGGATTCTCAAGAACGTCCTTAAAATGCAAAAAAAAGACCGGGCGCGGTGGCTCAAGCCTGTAATCCCAGCACTTTAGGAGGCCGAGGTGGGGGGATCACGAGGTCAGGAGATTGAGACCATCCTGGCTAACACGGTGAAACCCCGTCTCTACTAAAAAAATGCAAAAAATTAGCCGGGCGTGGTGGCGGGCGCCTGTAGTCCCAGCTACTCGGGAGGCTGCGGCAGGAGAATGGCCTGAACCCGGGAGGCGGAGCTTGCAGTGAACTGAGATCGCGCCACTGCACTCCAGCCTGGGGGACAGAGCAAGACTCCGTCTCAAAAAAAAAAAAAAATTCTCCTTAAAATATTATGAAATGCCGTGGCTACACTGCATGGAACCCAGGAATGGGAGACACCGTTAATGATATGGATCAAAGGCAATCGGTCAGCACAGAGTAATAAAGGCCACAATGGAGAAACTGAGTGCGCCTCTGCGCTTCAACGCCGTGCTCTGCAGGGTGTGGCCACCTGGTCCTGGTCCACGTGCCTCGGCATGAAGGCCGCAGACAAACGCCACTGCTCCCGGAGAGAAGCACTTGGCAGAGCACAGGTGCTGAGCCCAACAAACGTGTTCCGTAAGGGTCCAGGTAGGAGATGTTACCAGCTTTGTGGGCCACGGTCTCTGGCAACTGCCTGCTCTGCCGTGGTAGCACAAAGACACCCGCAGACGACACTCAGGTGAACGGCAGGACTGGGCTGAATTTGATGGCCCTGGCCTAGCAGATGGCTGGCACCCTCTCCACCTGGCTGACCGTGGCCTCCCCAAGAGAGTGGTGTGGACGGGCACACACAGAGTGGCACACAACAGTCAGCCAGCCTTGGCCATAGCCTCACTGGGAAATCAGATGTGGCTTTTTTTCTATTTTTTTGAGACAGGATCTGGCTCTGTTGCCCAGGCTGGAGTGTGATGGTGCAATTACGGCTCACTGCAGCCTCAAACACGTGGGCTTAAGCCACCCTACCTCGGCCTCTTGAGTAGCTGGGACTACCGGCATATGCCACCAGGCCTGGCTAATTTTTTAAAATTATTTTTTGTAGGCCGGGCGTGGTGGCTCATGCCTGTAATCCCAGCACTTTAGGAGGCTGAGGCGGGTGGATTAAAAGGTCAGGAGATCAAGACCATCCTGGCTAACACGGTGAAACCCCGTCTCTACTAAAAATACAAAAAAATTAGCTGGGCGTGGTGGCGGCGCCTGTAGTCCCAGCTGTTGGGGAGGCTGAGGCAGGAAAATGGCGTGAACTCGGCAGGTGAAGCTTGCAGTGAGTCGAGATTGCGCCACTGCACTCCAGCCTGGGTGACAGAGTGACACTCCGTCTCAAAAAAAAAAAAAGAAAAAAAAATTATTTTTTGTAGAGATGAGGTGTCACTACGTTGCTCAGGCTGGTCTCGAACTCCTGGCCTCAAGTGATCCTCCTGCCTTGGCCTCCCAAAGTGCTGGGATTATAGGCGTGAGTCACCGCACCCAGGCACTTTTTATAAACAACACCTCCCGCTACGCCCCCCTCTGCAAGGTTACCCCTGTGCTTTCCTTGGCTCACCTGCATACTCCGAAGGCCTCCACAGGGTCAACACGGCCCCAAGCGGGTAAAATTTGGCTCTTGGAGGAGCCAAGGAAAACCCCTCCCTGTGGCCGGTTCGATGTTAAGAGGAGTAAATGTGGCCACAAACGTGTACCACAATTAGACACACCCGTCTCCAGAACGGCAGGCTCAGGGAAGGGGTTTATACAGTGAATCCCGAGAGAGGCTCACAGCCAGTCACAGGGACATTCCACTGGTCCCAGATCAAGTGTGAAAGCAGCGACAGGGGAGATGAAAGGCCACGTCTCCAGTCACCGGAGACACTGCGCTAAAATGCAGCAGTACGCGGTCCGGTTCCTACCAGCAAAAGTGGAGTGACGTCTCCGTGGACACAGTGGTCCTGCCCGCCGCGGCAGCACCAGCACCAGCACAAGTGGCTCCTCAAATTCAGTGCAATGAAAGGAAATCTGAGACCCTCACTCACACAGCCGCCTCCCCCCGACCCAGCGTCTACCATGCTAACCAGCACAGCAAGGGGGCTTCTGTCCCTGGATAGAAGACAGCTGCCAGATCAGAACGTGGGGTTGGGGCCCTCTGATTTCCTGGGTGACATAGGTAGTAAATTATGGTAAACAAGGACACCGCCAGGAAACAAATTGGAGGCTGAGTCCCCTGAACGCTCAGAGAATTCTCAAAGTAGCTGCAAACGGTGTGTGAGAGGGCCTGGGTGTGTGCAGATCTGGAGACACCCCGACAGGTTACTTTTGCAGAAATTTCTGATGTGGGCATATTTTCTTGTAATCCTCCAGTTTTTACTAAACCCTGAACAAACATGAATGTTTGGGTTGCAAAGGCAGTGCGTGTCGGCTCTGGGTGACACTAAGGGGGTGCGTTTCAGTCTGGGTGACGCTAAGGGGGTGCGTGTCAGCTCTGGGTGACGCTAAGGGGGTGCATGTCGGTCTGGGTGACGCTAAGGGGGTGCATGTCGGCTCTGGGTGACGCTAAGGCAGTGTGTGTCGGCTCTGGGTGACACTAAGGAAGTGCGTGTCAGCTCTGGGTGACGCTAAGGCAGTGTGTGTTGGCTCTGGGTGATGCTAAGGTGCATGTCGGCTCTGGGTGACACTAAGGTGGTGCGTGTCAGCTCTGGGTGATGCTAAGGCAGTGTGTGTCGGCTCTGGGTGACACTAAGGAAGTGCGTGTCAGCTCTGGGTGACGCTAAGGCGGTGGATGTCGGCTCTGCGTGACGCTAAGGGAGTGTGTTTCGGTCTGGGTGATGCTAAGGGGGTGCGTGTGAGCTCTGGGTGACGCTAAGGGGGTGCATGTCGATCTGGGTGACGCTAAGGGGGTGCGTGTTAGCTCTGGGTGACACTAAGGCAGTGCGTGTCAGCTCTGGGTGACGCTAAGGCAGTGTGTGTCAGTCTGGGTGACGCTAAGGTGGTGCGTGTCAGCTCTGGGTGACGCTAAGGCAGTGTGTGTCGGCTCTGGGTGATGCTAAGGTGCATGTCGGCTCTGGGTGACACTAAGGAAGTGTGTGTCAGCTCTGGGTGACGCTAAGGTGGTGGATGTCGGCTCTGGGTAACGCTAAGGGGGTGCGTGTTGGCTCTGGGTGACACTAAGGCAGTGCGTGTCAGTCTGGGTGACGCTAAGGTGGTGCGTGTCGGCTCTGGGTGACACTAAGGGGGTGTGTGTCGGCTCTGGGTGACACTAAGGCGGTGCGTGTCAGTCTGGGTGATGCTAAGGTGGTGCGTGTTGGCTCTGGGTGACACTAAGAGGGTGCTTGTCGGCTCTGGGTGACACTAAGGGGGTGCGTGTCGGCTCTGGGTGACACTAAGGCGGTGCGTGTTGGCTCTGGGTGACGCTAAGGCAGTGTGTGTCGGCTCTGGGTGACACTAAGGGAGTGAGTGTCAGCTCTGGGTGATGCTAAGGCAGTGGGTGTCGGCTCTGGGTGATGCTAAGAGGGTGCGTGTCAGCTCTGGGTGACACTAAGAGGGTGCGTGTCAGCTCTGGGTGACACTAAGGGGGTGGGTGTCGGCTCTGGGTGTCGCTAAGGGAGTGGGTGTTGGCTCTGGGTGACACTAAGGGGGTGCTTGTCAGCTGTGGGTGATGCTAAGGCGGTGCGTGTTGGTCTGGGTGACACTAAGGCGGTGCGTGTCAGCCTGGGTGACGCTAAGGCGGTGCACGTCAGCTCTGGGTGATGCTAAGAGGGTGCGTGTTGGCTCTGGGTGACGCTAAGGGGGTGCGTGTCAGCTCTGGGTGATGCTAAGGGGGTGGGTGTCAGCTCTGGGTGAAGCTAAGAGGGTGCGTGTCGGCTCTGGGTGACACTAAGGGGGTGCGTGTCAGCTCTGGGTGATGCTAAGGGGGTGGGTGTCAGCTCTGGGTGACACTAAGGCGGTGTGTGTCGGCTCTGCGTGACGCTAAGGCGGTGCATGTCAGTCTGCGTGACGCTAAGGCGGTGCGTGTCGGTCTGGGTGACGCTAAGGCGGTGCGTGTCGGTCTGGGTGACGCTAAGGTGGTGCGTGTCGGTCTGGGTGACACTAAGGCAGTGCGTGTTGGCTCTGGGTGATGCTAAGGTGGTGCGCGTCAGCTCCTCTGGGTGACACTAAGGTGGTGCGTGTCGGTCTGGGTGACGCTAAGGCAGTGCGTGTCAGCTCTGGGTGATGCTCAGGCGGTGCACGTCGGCTCCTCTGGGTGACACTAAGGTGGTACGTGTCGGTCTGGGTGATGCTAAGGGGGTGCGTGTCGGCTCTGGGTGACACTAAAGCAGTGTGTATCGGCTCTGGGTGACGCTAAGGGGGTGCGTGTCGGCTCTGGGTGGTTGTGTAACATGGATGTAGAGAACACGGCAGCACCCACGGCTCACCTGGGAACACAGGGCCAGGACGGCGCTCTCCAATACTTCTCCTGCCTGCTCACCAGAGAAGTATCCACCTGCAAGCATAGCCTCGGTCATGTGGGGGCTGGGTCCTCAGTCCAAAACCAACCCCAATACCAACATGCCCTGAGTGCACTTTCCAAATTGGCCACACAGGTGGCCTGTTTTGGGTGAACACATCAGTGTCATTGCTGTCCCCAGCCCAGCTGTAACCCGAGGGGCCAAGTTCTGACACCCTTTTCCCACTCAGGCATTGATGGTCTCTGGCCTGGGGCAACGAGGGAGGCAAGGTCCCAGGCTCAGAGGTGACGGGTGGCCACTGGGCTCACACCTGCTGGGGCTCAGGGAGGCTGGGTGGGTTCCTCCCTCGGGAGGAAGCAAGGAAGGGGCTCCTGGGCAGAGCGAAGCAGGGGTGCATGGCAGGGGGCGCAGGGGCGAGGGGGTACCTGGGACCACCCAGGGGAGTCGGGAGGGGGGTGATGGGCGCCTGCAGGGACTCAGAGGCTGCAGGGGGACTTGGCCCTTGGTGTCGCCTGCAGGGACTCAGAGGCTGCAGGGGGACTTGGCCCTTGGTGTTGCCTGCAGGGGGACTTGGCTCTTGGTGTCGCCTCCAGCCGCTGTGGTTTCTGGTGGGGCCCTAAGAGGTCCAAGGCCGTGGCCTTGTGCGTTCGGGAGCGCATCTGTGGCAGGATCTGCGTTTGCTATGATTTTTGCTGGCGAGAACTGTGTCTTATCACTTAGGGTTTTTCTCAGGTAGCAGTGGGGCTCCTGCCCTGTGCCCGCCCTCTCTGGCAGACACTCGTGTCCCTTCCTTGGTGCACCTGGGCATGGTCAAGGCCTCCACGGGGTCAGCACCACCTTCCAGGGGGTAAACGCTGGCTCTTGGGGTGGGGAGGATCTTATTCTTCACAAGCCCAGAGATGCAGGACATGAATGGATACGCGGTATATCCTAGTACCAAAGATGCATGGGTGCCAGCCATTGGGAAGAACCACCTAAAAAGACTTGCTGGGGGCAACAACCAACAAAAGGTTGACAAACTTTGGTTTACCCCATTCCCACCAATCCTCCAGGAATCAGCCCCAGCACCCCGTCCTCCAGGAAGTCTTCCAGGGTTCCCAAGTCTAGACACTCCTGGCTCGTGTCTCTCTGTGCCTTATGGGACCTGGGGGTGGGCTTCTGCTCTCTGCAGAGCCCGGCAGGCTGCCTGGCACGAGGGGGCCTTCTGGAAGTGCTCTCTGAACCGAACCCCAAGTGAAAGGAAAATTGGGTCTCTTGGCACCACCCTGACACTGTTCTGCCCCATATGCTTCTCATTATGGAAGTGGGCTCCTCATCTGTCCACAGCGCTCTCCGCCATGTTCAGTAAGTCCTGTGGAAGGAGGACAATGGTGCAGGAAGCAGCTTCCTAGATACAACAGCGGGGCCCTGACTCTGGGGAGGACAGCAAGCCCGCAGTCAGAAGCTTCACCTCGGTAGAGCAGGGCCGCGTGGCGGCTCAGGGACCAAAGGGCGTACAGAGCACTGAGCCGCCCCAGCACGGCCCGCAGCGAGGGCGGCACGCAGGGCTGGTGCACGTGCTCGTGGAACCTCTGCACCACGGTGAGCTCCAGGAAGGCCAGCGCCAAGGGACGGCCGTGGGACACCTGGAACACAGGACGGCATCATAAGGACCATGAAAGTCCCAGCCCCGCCCAGATTCCCGGTGGAGGAAGTTCTCAGGAAACACGAACGCGGGTCTGCATTCCCGTGCAAGTCCTAGGACAGTAACATGAGGTGAGGCAGCACACAGACGCCGTGCAGCATAAGACGTTTCTAGAACACGATGGAAAAGGCCTATGTGAAGATGGAGCTGGGAGTGCTCTGGCTCCACCGACGCCCTCCAAGGCCTCAATCTCAGCTCAGCTCCCATCTGGGACTGGGAGAGGCACGGTCATTGCACACCGGGCCTGGGGCAGGCTTCGGGATGCTCTGCGGCTACAGTGTGGGCGCCCACCAGGAGGCCCCCGAGGGCCCAGGACCTGGCTTCTTCCACACAGGAAGACAGAGGAGCTGGAGAAGGGGCTTGTCAAGCTCCTCCCTGAGCTCAGAATTGACTTCGCTTCTCCAAAGGAACAGCCACCCCCTCCTCCAAAGCCTCCAAAGCACGCTTCTCTCCTTTCTCTCCATGCTGTACGTCCCCCGCAGGCTCTGCTGCTCCCATCTTTATGTCCATGAGTGCCCAATGTTTAGCTCCCACTTATACGTGCGAACATGCAGCATTTGGTTTTCCGTTGCTGCGTTAGTTTGCTGAGGATAACGGCTTGTAGCTGCATCCATGTTGCTGCAAAAGCCATGACTGTTGGTAGTGATGGCTGCACGGTATCCCGTGGTGTCTATGTACCCCATTTTCTTTATCCAGTCCACCGCTGTGGGGCACCCGGGTTGATTCTACAGTTTTGTTATTGTGAATAGTGCTGCGATGGACGTACAGGTACATGTGTCCGGCTGGCAGGATGACTGCTTTTCTTTGGGGTATGTACCCAGTAATGGGATCGCTGGGTCGAGGGGAAGGGCAACTCTTAGCTCTGAGAAATCGCCAAGCTGCCCTCCACAGTGGCTGAACTAATCTGCGTTCCCACCAACCGTGTATCCATGTCACTTTTCTCCACAGCCTTGCCAGCATCTGCTATAATATCAAAAACATTTGCTGATAATCATCAACTTCACTTATTAGCCTTTCTTTCCCTGTCTCCCATTTATCATCTCACCAGATATTTTAAATTAGGAAAACAACACACGCATTGCTTGACTTGTTAGGATGAGCAGGTGCCATTTTTAAAATTAAAAAAAATCCAGCCAAGCGATGAAATACAGGGTATGGGGGACCGACTGCTGCAGGAGGACCCGGCTGCATGCCTAGCCTATGCTGCTGCCCCAAATCTTCCCAGAACACAGCAGGGCGAAGCACACGGCAGCAGGGTCTCCAGTCACAAAGCCAGTGTCCTCCAGGGCCCTGTTGGGATCAGGAGCCTCGGGAAAACAGAAACCGGGAGTAGCTGCTTTCCCGTTCTGCTTCATGCCAGCCTGACTGGTCCCGTCCCAAGACCCCCGCTGGGTCCTGCACACTCATGGGTGGGCCGTCCCATTGCTGCCAGGAAGGCCTGTCCTGCTCCCTGCTCTCTGAGCATGGAGTGTGCCAGCCCGGGGCCTTGGGGCTTCCTGCCCTCTCCTGATCTCACACGTGCCATAGCTCTGGGCCTTGGTTTTGGCGGGATCTGGACTTGCACTGGGGCCGTGGGGACTGCACGACAGACCCCAGCTAGGACTAGCACCCAGAATTCCCAGAGACCTGCCAAGTGAGGTGGGGCAGCCCTCAGGCTCCCACCCGAGGCCTCTGGCAGGAGGCTGATAATACAGGCCTCTGGGGGAGCTGCCAGGCGTGGTGCTGCAGCTCCAGGCCTCAGCCCCTCCTCCTTTCACCTTCCATGAAACAAGCAGGCGACGGCACCTGCACCCCCGCAAGCTGCTCCTGTGTCCACGAGAACACGGCAATTCCATTGAATCCGCCCACACCCCAAAACGTGCTCCCACACCACAAGGGCCTCTCCTCTCGCCATGGGTCCTCTGCGAACCCCAATCCCAGCCAATCCCAGCAGGGCCCGGGCACAGAGAGGCGGTCCTCAGAACCGAATCTGAGTCTGAGCCCTGTGCCCCGCACCACTCTCCCCCTCACCTGCAGTCGCCACGCCGCTTCAGTGTGTTTTGCCATGAAAGTGACACAGCGTGATACAGCGATGGCACAGGCCAGACAGGCCGTGGGGGCCAGAAAGACAGCCCCCTCTGGAACCTTGCTGCTGCCAAATAATGCGTCCCGAGTGCCAGTGAGTTTTGAAACACAGAGTCACTCGGCTCTGCAGCTGTGCAAGAGAGCAAAAGGCGTCATACAAGCCTCAGTGTTGTCTCCCGTGTGGTGCTGCTGGGGTCAGGGCAGCCCTCTCACAGGAAGCGCCTGCGATGGCAGCTCTATTGTGCTCGACGGCATCTCGGTCCCCAGGATTTGCCTGCATGACACTGCGCTGTTGTTCCAGGAAAGGTCCACATAAGGCCAGCAGTCACTGGGGGGACACAGGCTCCAACGATGGGCTCCCTAAACAGTGTCTGCCATGGCAACCAGCAGAGCTGACCACAACATTAACCAACGTGGGCTGGGGCCCAGGAAGCATCCCACGTGGTATGAACTCCGGAGACCCGGGGGGACAGTAATGTCTCAGGTGCAGTCCCTCCCCATGGCCAAAGTGTCCCCATAGCTACGGTTAGGGCTGGCGCACTCCAGCCAAGAGTGCTCACGGCACCCACAGACACATCTGGGAGTCCCACTGCCCCCACCAGCTGCCCCCAGACAGGGCAGGGGCTGGACTGTGCTCTACGGGGATCTTCTGGACCACCTCAGCTGCCCCTCCAGAGCTGCCAAACTGTCCCCAGCTAGGACTGGGACAGGCACTTCTCAGGCTCCATGCAGCTATGGTCAGCTGTCCCTTTACAGCAGTAAACCCGGACACCCAGGAAATCTTCAGCACAGAGAGAGGGGAGGGTCCCAGTCTGGTACACTCTGATTTCTGAAGTACATTTTAAGAGGCAATGGATATAGTTCAGGCAAAAAACCAAACCCCAAATGGTCCAAATTCAGAGAGCAGCCACGCAGCCTGGGGAAAGGGCTGGGCTCTGTGACAGCTGGCCTGGGTGCAATCCTGGCCCTGGCACAGGCGAGCTGGGGGACCTTGGGCATTTCTCTTGGCCTCAACTTCCTTCACTCCCAAAGTAGACAACATGAAACGACCCAGATACAGAATCCAGCATGTGGCTCAGGGAGAACAAATGTCCTCGTCCTTGTCCGCCTTCTGATGTGCAAATTCCTGAAGGGAACCTGGAGCCCTTGTGACAGGGGTCGATCCCAGGGTGAAGGCAGGCTGCGGGGACGCCACCACCCACCTTTTTATTCCCAGACTGGAGGCAGGCTGCGGGGACGCCACCACCCATCTTTTTAGTCCCAGGTTGGAGGCAGGCTGCGGGGACGCCACCACCTATCTTTTTAGTCCCAGGTTGGAGGCAGGCTGCGGGGACGCCACCACCCATCTTTTTACTCCCAGACTGGAGGCAGGCTGCGGGGACGCCACCACCCACCTTTTTACTCCCAGGCTGGAGGCAGGCTGCGGGGACGCCACCACCCACCTTTTTACTCCCAGGCTGGAGGCAGGCTGCGGGGACGCCACCACCCACCTTTTTACTCCCAGGCTGGAGGCAGGCTGCGGGGACGCCACCACCCACCTTTTTACCCCCAGGCTGGAGGCAGGCTTCGGGGACGCCACTACCTATCTTTTTAGTCCCAGGTTGGAGGCAGGCTGTGGGGACGCCACCACCCATCTTTTTATTCCCAGACTGGAGGCAGGCTGTGGGGACGCCACCACCCATCTTTTTAGTCCCAGGCTCGAGGCAGGGTGCGGGGACGCCACCACCCATCTTTTATATCTACTGGCTGTTGAACACGTGAAGGTGTCACTCAGCCGAAAAATGAGAGAAATGCATTGTTAAAGACCTTTCTGCACATGCCTGGCTTACGGGTAGATAGCGGTTATTGGCAAGAGCCAGAAAATGTTTAAAAGTTAATCAATTTTACCCACCAGGTCAAAGAGTAGGCACACTTCTAACAAAAATGCCAGTAACCTTCTCAAAGGACACAGCCGTCACCCTCTCCACGAACGATGCTGCTGCCCGAGCCCAGCCTGATGCCTGCGGAAGTATGGCTTTGACCTGCAGCTCCTGGCCCTGGCTCCAGGTCAGCGGCTGCTAGGGCTGGTTTCTGACCAGGCGGGCATCTATCTGAAGGAGTTCCTTCCTTCCTGGGGATGTTCTCTGTCAGCGACATGCCACGTGGGCTTCCCCAGTCTGCTGTGTGTCTTCTGATTTTGTTCGGAGCATCTTTTGCAATGCAGAAACGCTGAACCTTCATGCAGCCAAATCCGATGGTTTTATTTTTTAACAGCTTCCGGCTCCCATCTTCCTGAAAAGGCTGGTCTAGGCTGAGGCTTTCTTCTCATGCCGTATTGCAGGGGAAGGGGCTGCATCTCCCATGGGCCCCTTAGCATCCAGCCCAGGGCCCCAAGGGCTCTCAGCTGTCACAAACGTCCCCTGCTCTTGAAAGCTCTGCGACCCAGAGCAGGTCTGGAGCACGAAGCCCCACCCTGGCAACTGCTTTCCCTCCAAGGCCTTGTGGCTGGTGTCTGTGGGTGTCTGTCAGCTCCACAGCTCGGCCCAGGGTCACCGTCTCAGCCGGACTCAGAACCCAGGACCCCTCCTGGCCTCTGCCGCAGGACTCCCTGAAATTCTGTCACCAAGTTCTCGAAGGAAAAGCTGAAGGTAAGTGGTTTCTCAGCACCTGAGCCACACACTCGGGGTGTTGTGGGGTCACACAGGCTGCGGCCCCAGCATAGGCCGGGGCGGGAAGGGGGTGCTAAGGACCTACCAGGCAGTTCTAAGAGACACAGGTGTTGTTAGGAATGGGGTCCTTTTGTGCCCTCCGTTTCTGGGGGTCTTGTTTCATAACTCATTGGAGAATCTCCATTCCATTAAAAAAATTCTTTTTTTCTTTTCTGAGACAGGGTCTTGCTCTGTTGCCCACGCTGGAGTGCAGTGATGTGATCGTGGCCCACTGCAGCCTCAACCTCCTGGGCTCAAGCGATCTTCCTGCCTCAGCCTGCCTAATGCGCTGGCATTACAGACACGAGCCAGTGCAGCAGCCTATTCCACCTTAACACGAGGATGTGGCCTGCAGAGGAGGGAGCGGTGGAAGCTGACAGGCATCCATCGGTTTCTGAATGACCCAACCTGCCGTGTTATCAGCCAGGGTGGGTACAGAAGGCAGCCTGTTCTGGGTCACTTCAAGTCTCCTATTTTCGGTCACCATGGCCCTAAACTACAAGTTCTACTGACCCTGGCCACCTGCTGACTTCATTTCTTTTCAGCTATAAATTCAATCTGGGTTTCTTTCTTTTTTTTTCTTTTTTTTTGAGATGGAATCTTGCTCTGTCACGCTAGAGTGCAGTGGTGTGATCTCGGCTTACTGCAACCTCTGCCTCCCATGTTCAAGCAGTTCTTCCTGCCTCAGCCTCCCAAGTAGCTGGGACTACAGGCGCCTGCCATCATGCCTGGCGAATTTTTTGTATTCTTAGTAGACACCGGGTTTCACTGTATTCGCCAGGATGGTCTTGATCTCCTGACCTTGTGATCCACCTGTCTTGGCCTCCAAAAATGCTGGGATTACAGGCATGAGCCACTGCGCCCGGTCCAATCCAGGTCTCTTTGAGCTCGGCAGGAGCCCATCCTTCCCGCCTTCTCTCCTCATCCCAGGGCAGGTGTGTGCAGCAGGTTCTAGAGGTGCTGGCCTGAGGGGCACGGCTGCCCCCCAGCAGCAGGCTGTGGGGTGCCAGGCCTTCCCAGAGACAGGCAGACGTGGACCTGGGTCCCCACAGCGGCTTCATTATTGAAGCTGACCCATAACTTCATGAACTGACACTAGGGAGAAGGGGCGACAGCAGCTCTCTCCGTATCCATGGCCTCTCTGCACAACACTCATGGCCTGAGTCTCCCCATAGCTATGGTTAGGGCTGGCGCACTCCACCAAGAGTGCTCACGGCACCCACAGACACATCCGGGAGCCCCACTGCCCCCAACAGCTGCCCCCTAGACAGGGGAGGGGCTGGGCTCTGCTCTAGGGCAGACAGCCGGGACAGGGCTGGAATCACATGGAACCAGGTTCCTGGCATGACAAGGCGTTTTATAACAGGCTGTTTTTTCCCTGTGGCTTCCCAGAACACAAAAGACAGCCCTGTCCAGGTGTGAGAACCAAAGCACTTTCCAAGGCCAATGACGACCCACTCACCATTGCCACCCCAGCCCCTCGGGAAGGCAAGAGCAAGCAAGCAGGGCGCTGGCGTCACTCCCATGAGTCAGGAGGGAGCACTCTGAGTGTCTGCAGTGGTGTCCCTGCCTGTCTGTGCATCCAAGGCTCTCACAACCCAGCGCTTCACTGCTCCGGTTTATGGGCTGGGAACCGTCAGGCACGGTAAATGTAACATCCATGACCTCCCCAGCCCAGCAAGACAGGTGCCGCCATCCCTGTGTTACAGAGGAGCTGAGCAAGCAGCAAAGTCATCAAGTCATCTGCCCAGGGTCACGGGAGCTCAGGGTCTGGGGCCTGAACTGCCAGGGACACAACAACTGGGGAATTAAGAGCAAATAATACAAAAGGGAATTTTGAAAACAAATACCTACCTGGCAGTTATTCCTTGCTTCAAAGTCACTGCTTCCTGATCTTTTCTCTTGGTTTAATTTTTGATAAGTCTCTTGGAGCAGGTAGCAAACCAGCCACTTGTATGCTGCCAGGGCGACTTTGGAACGAGAAACAGAAGGAGAAAAAGTAACAATAGAGAAATTAGCATTTGTCACGACTCACCCCCAGGGACAAGGCACTGCCAGCATCCTGCAGGTACGGCGTCATCTTCGTGACAAGCAGGCGTATGGGGTGGGTCTGATTTTATAGGTAGGGAAACTGAGGCACAGGGACGGCATCTGCCCAGGGCCCCTCTGGCTGGAGGCACTTCCTGGCTCAGGCTGGGGCTGTCCTGAGTTCTACACTGTTCCAGCAGCCTGGAGGCCACAGGGGCACGGTGCCGCCACTAGAGCGGGCCCTCGAGTGCGACAGCCGCACGTTCTCGCACGCACCAGGCTCGGTCTGTGTGAAGCGTGGTGCTGTCCCTGCAGCATCAGCCAGGACTGCATGGGCAGCAGGACAACTGCCCGCTGGTGGCAAGAGGAAGGGGTGCTTCCGTTCACCTCCCCCTGCCTGGCCCTTGGACCTCACTGCCTGCTGGAGCTGGGTGGAACTGGGGACTGACACGGTGGGGGAGGGGGTACCTGAGGCCTCGTACCCTGGGGGCCCCCCCCCCAAGATTCAAAAGGGCAGGAGGGAGCAGATGCAGCAGACAGGGAGGCCCCAAGGTGGGGTGTCAGGCAGGACAGCTGGAGCCCCCTCTTCATCCTCCCCTTCCCCTGGCAGTGGTGCCCACATCTGCAGGGCCCCCTACAGCATGGCCAGAGCTGGCCTCCCACAGTACTCCCTATGGACCAGGCATGGTCCTGAGACCCCACCAGGCTGTACTGCTACCACCCCCCTGATGAGGACATGGGCCCAGGCACATGGCGAGCATGTAGGGGAGAGCTGCGGACCAGCCGCACATGGAGGCCACGCTCACACCCACTCCCTGCCCAGGCACAGAGGGCCTGGTGCCCGGACACGAGGCACCTCCAGGCTGCAGGGGGCCTTCTGCCTGGCAGCCGGTCTTGCTCAGAGATCCCAGGCAGGAGAATGGGGTCAGCCACGCTGAGTCTGAGCCCAAAGGCTGAACTCAGGGGCCCTTGGGATTTCCTTCTATGTCACACAGCCCAGGTCACTGGGAAGAAAACACCCAACGTCGAAGTTCCTGCCACAGCACACCCGACTGCTTTCGGCTGTTACATCCATTCACCCTCACAGCATAACTGAGAGGAACTGAGTTATAAACTAGAGCAGGCCGTTCCCCAGGCTCAGACATCAGGCGGCGGCCGGAGGTCTCAGCTCCCCAGCGGGAAGGAAAGGCAGGTGCCGCTGACCCCGCAGGCGGGGCACAGGCAGGGCTGGGCGGAAGTTTCCTCCATACAGGCATCTTCAGGGAGCCAAGGCTCCCCTTGCCAAGTCCTGCCAGGCATGAGGCGTTGAATGGTGGCCCCAACTGACTCCCACGGCTGTGAATATGACCTTTGTTGGGAAGAGGGTCTTTGCAGATGTCATGACGTTGAGGTACTGAGGGAGGTCATCAGGGACTCCTGGACTAGGGTGGACTCTAAGTCCAATGACACGTGTCCTTACAAGATGCAGAGACGGCAAAGTCACAGAGGAGGCAAAGGCCAGCATGATGCAGCCGCAGCCAAGGACTCCTGGAGCTGCCAGGAGCCTGGGCAGGAGGACTCCCCCGCAGAGGGAGCGGGGCAGCCCTGCCCCATCCTGCCTTGGGGTTTCCGCCTCTGCACCGAAAGAGTCACTGCCTGCTATCTTTGGTGCCCAGGCCGTGGCCCTCTGCTGCTGGCAGGCTGCCCAGGGCTCATCCTTGAGCCGCACATGCTACCCTTCAGGACATTACAGGAAAATTCAGGTCCATTTTGCAACCAATGCTGAGGGGAGGCCCTCATGACCACCGCCTGTTCCTAAAGGCTCTGCCACATCCCAAGCTCTCCCCAGCAGGGCAGATGGTCACGAACAGCAAGGAAAGGTGGACGCTGTGCAGTTGTGCTTTCCATGACTTATTTACATAGCAACAAAACCAAGGAAACGGTCTGGCCAGAAACCGCTTGTGCAAATTCCTTCTGACCACACCAGAGGCCCCCGTGTCCCACCACGCATCAGCCGTAGCTGGGCTTCCCTCCCAGCCTGTCCTGGCCGTTCCCAAACACTGCCCCGGGAAGTGTCCCTCTGTGGTGGACACTTCACGGCAGTTACCCGAGTTTTCCAATCTATCTCTGCAACCAGAATTAACCCATGAGGCTTCCCGTCGACAGCCAGTTAGACCGTGCTGTGGGCTGCAAGTGAGACGAATGCTTGAGAAATGAGTTATGTTTGCACCGTGTTTTTCCTTACACTCTGCTTTTGGTTCTTGGTTTTTCATTAAAAAATAAAGCATGTCAGTCTGATGTGTTCACATGCAGGGGGAGAAGATCCCCCAAAAAGCAGATGACAGCAAACGAAAGGTGGGTGCCATGTGTGTCATTTCCAGAGTTAATCTGGAAGTGAAACAGTATCGCTGAAACAAAGTACGTGGAAAATGGGCACGGGCAGCGAATTCTCTTGCTTGGAATATGGCTGCTGGCGGCCCAAGGAAACGCCCAGCGTCAGCAACCTCTGTCCTTAAGACTCTCCCAGAATCCTGGGTCACCACAGCCTTTCCATGTGCCACACACCAGACGGACTCGCGAAGGTGCCCCCAGCTGCCCTGTGCACCCAATGACTGCCCCTCAACCTGCCCCCCTCCGCAGCTGGGACTCCGTCCTTGACCCCATGGAGAGCTCTTCGCATGCACCGCCTGCCTTTCGGGTCTCAGTTTCCTCTCCTGTCTCTGAGCCCAGTCCCCGCTGCGTCAGCATCGGACACTCCTAACTCGGATTCTGACCCAGGCAAGCCCTGGAAAGCAAGGCCTGGACGGCGGCCCCAACTCCTCAGCCAGATCACGGGCCCGGGTCTGACCATGCCCACCGCTCTGGTGCTCCTGAACGGCCGGTGCTCCCCAAAAGCACAACGCACAGACCTTCCAAGACACCCTCAGGTGCCAGCTTTGTGGGAAACATTCCTTGACCCACCAAGGCAGACCTCACCTGCACCTGTGTCTATTGTTTCCAATGAAGTGTTCAGGACAGTGGCCCCCCACACACAGCAGCCCCCCACCGAGGGCACCATGGCCTGGCACCTGCCAGGCAGCACGAGGTGACCGCATTCCCTCTCCACTGTCTTGCAGGAAGAAAACAGGCTCAGAGAGATTAAAGCCTAGCTCAAGGTCACAGCGGGGGGCAGTGCTGACCCAAGAGCCTGTGCTCCCATCCTCTGGAAACACCGTCTGCACCATGAACCCCACTGCTCACCTCACATGACCTCACCATGCACTCCACGTGACCTCACCACTCACCCCACGTGACTCCACCGCTCATCCGTGACCCCACTGCTCACCTCACATGACCTCGCCATGCACTCCACCTGACCTCACCGCTCACCCCACGTGACTCCACCACACATGGCCCCATGTCACCTCTGGCCTACATTCTGTGACCTTGCAGTCCACACATACACACGTGTCCGGTAGTGAACACTGCAACTGCTTACTACGAATGCACACCAGCCAGCTAAAGGAGAACAGGGACCGTCACAGGGAGCAACAGCACAGGCCCCAAGGCACAGGGCTGTGACACTCAGCCCAGCACACGTGCCTGTGCAAAAATCAGAGGAACTCAACAGAAAACCCGGCCTTCCCTACCCAAGTCAGAATAGGAACCCCTGAAGGACCAGCCATGGGCTTGGCAAATCCTCCACCCTTCCTCACAGGAGAGCACAACCTTGGAAGAGGCTTGTGTCTCTTCAATCCTGCAGAGCCTGAGGGCCCCACATCACTTACACAGCTTTTACCAAAGATCCACATGACGCAGGCTGCAGTCAGCCCTGAGCCCTGGGATCTGTGACCAAATGCCCTTGAGACGACGGGGCTGGCAGAATCCACAAGCTTCCCTGCGGCGTGAGGGATAATGGTGATCTCGCTCCCACACCACTTTCCACAAGAGAAAGTCATTTGCCTTTGTTACTCTGGAAAACGTTTTCACTTCGTTGCATCTTGTAAACATTAGGGCAGTTGCAGGAAAAGCAGATGACTTTGGTGTCTGTCCCGATGATGGAGAGACTGTAAAACTGCTTTTGCTTTCAGTCTCAGGGGAAGGGGAGGGAAGAGCAGAGCGTGATGGGCACATGGAGAAGCTGGCTGCGCCTTCTATGTTTTCATTTTATTAATATAGGGAGCGATGGTTTTAGGAAAAAGGTTTTGGTTGGGTTGAAGTTACTACAATGATTAGGTCATTTTCTAGTTCTTCCTGTGGCAACATTTGGGAAGCTTAGAAAATGACTTGCGGCTGGGTGCGGTGGCTCACGCCTGTAATCCCAGCACTTTAGGAGGCCGAGGCGGGCGGATCACGAGGTCAAGATATTGAGACCATCTTGCCTAACAGGGTGAAACCCCATCTCTACTAAAAAATACAAAAAATTAGCCGGGCGAGGTGGCGGGCGCCTGTAGTCCCAGCTACTTGGGAGGCTGAGGCAGGAGAATGGCGGGAACCCGGGAGGCGGAGCTTGTAGGGAGCCGAGATCGCGACACTGCACTCCAGCCTGGGCGACAGAGCGAGACTCCGTTTAAAAAAAAAAAAAAAGTGACTTGCAAACATCAGAAATAGTTCATCAAACGTGTCCCCATTTCCTACTGGCACCCAAACAGGCAGGCTGAGGTCTGCACGGTTAGTTACCGTCAGAAGCTATAACCCAGCGCAGGGCCCACGGGAAAGCCAGCAGTGACGCGGGCGCGTCCTGATGACGATGCTGACGGTGCAGGCAGCGGAAGGCACCGGGAAACTGGCCCGGCCCAGGCTCCACACGGGGTTCGGCCATGGCTGTGTGTTCTTTGCCGTGTGAACAAGTAGCCCGCAGGGCAGGAGACGGACAAGGGCACACGCTCGGGGGCTGCTATCACATCCATGGCGTCGGTCCTGAAGGCCGGAACGCGTCCTCCACGTGCGCCTGTCCCCTGCATGGGCTCCCTCCTCCCGAGGATCCAGGGGCCTCCCAGAACCCCTGGGGACCCTCGCATTCTGGTCTCCTGAATGCAAAGCCAAGAGCCTCCTCCATCTCCAAATCCCTGATCTATCCGCCCAGCTGAGTGTGCCGCACCTCGAGAGCGGTTCCTGCCCAAACTCTGCGGCTGCTGAGCTGAGCACTGATTTGGCGCCAAGTGCTGCACTAAGTGCTTTACGCGCTGAACTCAGTCCACCCTACGGAAACATTATGAAGGGGATACAATTATCATCCCTGTGCTGCAGATGAGGAAACCGAGGCAGGAAGGCTGAGGAACTTGCTGTAGGTTCCACGGCCGGCAGGAGGAGGGACCAGGATCAACCTCCTGCAGCCTGGCGGGAGCTGATGTCTCGCTCCGGACGGTGGGCCTGCTCTTCCAGTCTCGGGTGTCACGGAGGGTTTAGTTTCTACCTGGCCCACCGGGACAGTGCATTGGGACCCCTCTCGGCCCTTCTCTTCTGCACAAATAGGTGCTTTGGTGGCAAAGCAAAGACGTTCACTAAATACCGCTGAGTGAGGCGACAGGGAGATGGAGGCGTCGCTGCGGGTTGGAGCTGTTCTCTGTGATATGCGGCTTGACAGATGGGGGCTGTGGTGGGAGGAAGGCATTTGACAGGGACATGGGTGGCATGGAGGTGGGGGCAGCTCCAGCCCGGCTCTTTCTGTCACATCTCACCCAGACCACTGGGCAGGAAGCATCCAGGAGCAGTAACAAAAGATTCAGAGCTTTGCAGTCCCACAGGCTTGGGTTTGAATCCTTGCTCTGTCCCTGCCTGCACCCAGGGAGCCGGAGCCGAGGGCTCTTTAGGAGTGCCCTGTAGAACATGCAGAGCTCTGCCCGGTGCTTCTGTGTAGGGGCGCAGGGCAGCCCGTCTCACCTGTCCCAACCGCCTCTCACCTCCGTTTCCACAGAGCAACCAGAGTGGCCTTTTTCAACATTTTTAAAAATATGAATCATCAAAACAAGTAGCACACCCCATTCCACCAGGCCTCTGGTGCTCACCTCCGGTCATTCACAGCAGGGGAACACGATGCACGCTCGCATCGAGATGTGCTCCGCACGGGCTGGGCCCTGTTGCCTCCTCCTCCTCCTGAGACACCTGTCCATCGGACATACCCATGGCTGCCCCTGCCTTTCACTGAGACCTCAATTCAAAGGCCAAGACCCTTGCAAGGTGGTCACCAGTCATGCTCTACCTCACCAGCCAGGATCACTGCTTTGCAGAATTCCCGCTGCCCTAAGACTGAGGCCTTGGGATGTTTTTGTGTCTGCTGGTCTAGACTGCAAAGTCCCACGAGGGCAGGCACGGGGTCTCGGTCATGCCGGCCGCTGGCCCTGAACTGCAGAGTAAGTGCATAACAAGCACGTGCAGAATTAACCAGGGAATGCGAGAGCGCTGCTCTCCAGAGAGGGATCCCCTGTCAGGATGCAGTGCAGTCTACAGGGAAGCTGCTTTGCTTTCCATGCTGCCAGCACGGCCGGACGCCCCATTCCCAGTTCTCGTTTCCACCTTTCTGAGCAGACCCTGCGTGGGTGAGGTGGAGCCTGCAGCAGCTCCCATGACACACCTGCAGGAGGCTGTCCATGGCCAGCTCTGTGCAGGCCCCTGAGAGGAGGCCCCACCCCGACCACCACACCCACGGGAGATGAGCCTGTGCTACAGGGGCCGAGGGAAGGAAGCGTGTGAGATGCGCCAGGGCGGGAAGGGGCATCTGCTGTTTGGGGAGCCAGGAGGGGCTGGGGGTGGGGAAGACCGACAGGTGAGGTGGCTGGGAGGGCCCAGGGACAGCAGCAGCCCAGGCACCAGGGCAGGGGGCAGAGGCTGCTCAGTGGACAAAGACCAGGCCAGGTGGCCCCTCACGCCCTTCATCCGACGGGAGGGGAAGGCAAGAGGCAAGGCATAGGGTGGTGAGTGGGCATCCTTCAATTCATCTGTGGAGTCAGTGTCTAACTTGGCATTGGGTGCAAAGAGATTATTCCACGAGCCAGCCCAGGACAAGCTGCATGCAGGGCCTCCCACCACCACTGCTGCCCCGGCTGGAATTGCCAAGGGCCGCCTCACCAAGGCACGGTGCGTTTCCTGGTGGGAATGACGGGAAATCAGGAGACCAGGGGAGCCCTCCACCTGCATGTTTACCTGCGGAGTCCAAGCAGTCGGCAACACTGGAGACCTCAAACTTCTGGTCAAGGATGCTGGGATAGGCGTCCAGAAAGTCCACCGACTTCAGCGGACTGCGGAAGCAAGCTCCATCTAGGACACACATTCCAGTGACTTTGGTGGAAGACGGGAACCCAAGCCACTGGGGACCCCAAGCCGGGGGCACCCCAAAGCATGGAGAATGTCCAGAGGACCTGACAGCCACGGACCCATGAGCCAGGGTCTGGGTCTCAAGGACTCTCCCCATCCCAACCTTTGCCCATGCCTTGGGGAGTCGGTCGGCACTATCTGATAGTATTTCTTTCCTTCTGCACATCTAGGGTGCGTCCACAGAACAGCTGAATCAGTGGGGCCAGGAGAACCCACCCCCGCCAGGTTGTGTTCCAGGGCCCCCACCAGTGTGCAGCGGAGCCTCACCCCGGACCCGGTGTGCCAGGAGGCCCAGCAAATAGTTGCTTGTCTGCTGCAGCAGGACGTTGTTGTCACCTTCGTATGTGCAGTTGGGATCGTTGTCATCTCTAAGGACACCCAACCGGTTCACTGCAACAAAGCCACAATAGTACCATCATTTAAGATGCATATTTGTGAAACAGCCAGTCACTATGTGAAATTTTTTTTTTTTTTTTTTTTTTTTTTTTTTTTGAGACGAGTCCGCCTGCCCACTGAGTGCTGGCCGATCTCAGCCACTGCAGCCCCCCCCCCCCCCCCCCCCCCCCCCCCCCCCCCCCCCCCCCCCCCCCCCCCCCCCCCCCCCCCCCACACCTTCCCCGCCCCCACTATTGAATAAACCCCTAAGAGGCTGGGCGCAGTGGCTCACACCTGTAATGGCAGCACTTTGGGGGGCCAAGGCGGGTGGATCACTTGAAGCCAGGTATTCAAGACCAGCCTGGCCAACATGGTGAAACCCACCTGTACTAAAAATACAAAAATAGCCGGGTGTGGTGGGTGTGTGCCTGTAGTCCCAGCTAGTCAGGAGGCCGAGGCAGGAGAATCGCTTGAGCCTGGGAGGCGGAGGTTGCAGTGAGCTGAGATTGTGCAACTGCACTCCAGCATGGGCAACAGAGCAAGACTCTGTCTCAGAAAAAAAAAAAAAAAGCCACGAGTTTGAGACAAGCCTGGGCAACATAGTGAGACCCTATCTCTACAAAAAATGAAAAAAAAAATTAGCTGAGAATGGTGGCAAGCACCTGTAGTCCCAGCTACCCAGGAGGCTGAGGTGGGAGGATTGCCTAAGAGCCCAGGCATTTGAGGCTGAAGTGAGCCATGGTCATGCCACTGTACTCCAGCCTGGGGGACAGGGCAAGACTGTCCAAAAAAAAAAAGCCCTAAACCCAGCTTGACCAGACACAAAAAACTGTCACCCCTGCTTCAAGTCCCAACCCCAGCTCCTCCTCACTGCTGTCAGCAAGCCCTGCACGGTCATCCCGCAGAGCCTCCCCCGGCATGGGGTCGCTGACAGGAGGGAACCATCTCAGCAAGCTGACGCCCCCAGGGCTGCCCTTCTTCCTTCTGTAACTGAATGAACTCTTCTTTTAATACAGGAAATATCAAGACAACTTTGCTTTTGTCTTTCCTATCAATTAGCTGGATGCCTTCACATAGGTTATAAGGCTTGCTTTCCAGACCCTCACGCACTGGAGCCTGCTTGCTCTGATGGAAAGTGTTCTCTGAATGTGAGGCTGGGATGGGCCCAGCAGGAAGGGAGCCGAGCTGACTTCTCACACTCACATACTATGACTGATGGATCCTGAGAGCATGAACGGACTCCTACTGCAGCCACGCTGCCAGCAGGCTTGTGATTAGGCTTGTGACCACCTGGAACACCTGATCATTTTCTCCTGACTTGCTGTCAAATCTTGCCACGTGCCTCCTGTCATGTAACAGGTTGGCCACTGAACAAGAGCTGGGAGAGTCCCCAGCAGAAACATTTGCAATTGATTTTCTAAACCTAGATGGAGCTTTGGTTGTGTTGGTCTCAATCCCAGCATATGTATATATATATATATATGTATATGTATATGATGAATCTTGATTCCATTGTCTTTGTTGTCTGTAGTACTGCAAGATTCAATTTCGTTATTCAACTATTTATAGAATCCCGATGAGTTACAACGACAAATAAAAACTACTAAGGGCATTGCGCAGACAAAGCATGCAAATGAGTAACTTATGTACAGCCATGGCTACCCACATGGCAGTAAGCGACAAAGGCAGAGTGTGGTGGGAGTGAGAGGCCACGTTGCTGCCGGCCCATGCTAGAACAGGTGCGAGTTAGAACTGCAGTGGTGGGCGGATGATCGCTGAAAGCGTGTGTGTAGTTCTAGACAGAGCATCGCCAAAACTCTCACAAACTTGGCAAAGGGCCTAAAGCGCTCCTGGAGGGCAAGAGAGTTTTGCAGATGCTGTGGCTGTTTTGAGTGTGTACATGGCCTTCTTTGAGCAACCAGTTTTTGCCAGTTAATTATTTAAGATTAGCACACAGGAAGTTTTGCAGGTAAGCTGTAAATAATGCTGATGATAATTCTAATAATAACAGCATTAGCAAATAAAAAAGTCAGTGGGCATGCACTACAAGCCAGATACTAAGCTTACACTTCATACATGTTAATTCACTTAATTCTGGCAAGAACCTATGTTGTGGGTACACTATTATCACCCCCCACTGTAAAAATAAGAAAACTGAGCACAGTGAGGTTAAGCAACCTGCCCACAGTTACCAGGCTGTTAAGACGGAGCCAGGACTCAATCCCAGGCAAGCTGGTGGCCCCTGTTCTTAACCACACAACAGCTGCCTCGGTTATCGTCAATGCTGATATAACTGACTCTTTTTCTAAGTGTAAGAATTTTCTATCCAAATAAAACATGGTGCTAGTTTACTACCAAGCTGTTAACCAAACAGTTAAAATTCAAATGAGCAGATCAGCTGCTCTCTGCCTGTATTTTGGCCAAAGCATCAGGCATCTGAAAGCAGTGGGATCTATCTAGGGCAGGGGTTGGCAAACTTGTTCTGCAATGGACCAGAGAGTAAATATTTTCAGCTCTGCAAGCCACATGGTCTCTGTCACAGCTGGGATTACTCAACTCTGCCCTTGCAGTGCGAAAACAGCTGCAGGAAATGTGCAAATGAACGGGGGTGGCTGGCTGTGTTCCAATAAAACTTTATTTGCAAAAACAGGTGGCAGGCTGGATTTGGTCTTCAGGCCACAGTCTGCCGACCCCTGGTCTAGAGTCAAACAGCAGGGTTAAGGACAGGAAACCACCATGCGCTTCTCCAAAACCTACTGGCTAGATAGCCGTGTCCTCCACACGCCTCCCGGCATTCCTGAATTCCTTGCTGGGCGGTCCACGAGGCCAGGGGCTTGCCGGCTGATGCCAGAGCGTGGATCTCACGTCCAAGCTCTGCCTTTGGGTGAGGGAATCCAACAAGAACAGGTGAAAAGAGACTTTCGACACCAAAAAGTCAGACGTCAGCAATAACATCAAACCACCATATCACTTCTAGTCTAATACAAGACATCCTGAAAATGACAGAAGAGGAAACCTAATTGTAATTAGAAATAAAAAAGGGTCTTTATCCAAGTATGGGTACACTGTGGTATGCTCATACCATTTCACAACAATGAAAACACCGCTCCACACAGCAAATAGCTTTCGGGGCCCTGACATGGCTCCCAGAAGCAAACTGCAGAAGAATGTACGTCATGGCCCAGTTTATATAAAGTTTATAAATGTCAGAGTGAATGACACGCCATGGAAGGTTGCAATTGTTTGCAGTGAAACCATGAAGAAAGGCCAGAGAATCAGACCCAACACCGCAGACAGTGCTCCCTCCCAGGACAGGGAAGGGCCGGGGCCAGTCCATTCCAGAAGGGCTGCAAGCGCCTCGGTAACTGACGGTCTGCTCTGCGTGGGTGCTCACTGTGCCTCCCTCGGGCCTAACATGTTTCATTGAGACTCCTTTGCTGTCCATGGCCACACTACCCTGAATGAGCCTGATCTTGGAAGCTAAGCAGGGTTGGGCCTGGTTAGTACTTGGATGGGAGACTGCCTGGGACCAGCAGGTAACACAGGCTTTTCTTTTAAGGGAAAAAAAAGAAGAAGAAGAAGACTCCTTTGCTTCTACTTGATATCTAATGATGAAAACTTAAGAGACTGGGCCAGGCACAGTGGCTCACGCCTGTAATGCCAGCACTTTGGGAGGCCGAGGTAGGCAGATCACTTGAGCCCAGGAGTTTGAGAACAGCCTGGGCAACGTTGGCGACACCCTGTTTCTACTGAAAAATACAAAAAATTAGCCAGGTGTACTGGCAGGCACCTGTAGTCCCAGCTACTCTGGGAGGCTGAGGCAAGAGAATCGCTCGAACCCAGGAGGCGGAAATTGCAGTGAGCCAAGATCGCACCACTGCACTCCAGCCTGGGCAACAGAGCGAGACTCCGTCTCAAAAACAAACAAAAAACTTAAGAGACTGATTCAAGCTAAAAGAAGAATTTTTACTTTTAAAAAAGAAATAAATTAAAAAAGAAAAACAAGAGGAAGACACACACAAACACACACACACACACACACACACACACACACACAAATGTTAAGTCCAATGACCCATTTTATGAGTGTTTTCAACTTCACATAAGGGGCTGAGTCGAGGCCCTCCTCTGCCTGGGTTAAACCGCTGAGTTTCAGAAACAATGAGCCCGGTCACCCTTTACAACATTATTCACAGGACAGTGTCAGAGCTGGCAAAAGCTCCACTGACTCACGCTCCCAGGAAAACACAGGCTTAACCCCTTCAGTGGTCAGAAGCGCTCCCTCCTCAGGCCTCCCGAGCCTGGGATTTGCTCTGCCACCAATCCTGCAGGTCATCCCTTCGCCATCACCTGCCGTGAATGCGGACACCAGTAATATTTCAAGATATGCTAATTAGATGCAGGCTTTTTCTGATGTTGTACGTAACTGCAATCTGCAGTATTTCTCCTCTGCTTCCAAACATGGTTATTTCTTTCGATTCACATTTCACTCTTGCTCAGGAGCAGCAGGAGGGACAACGGAAAATCAGGTCATAACCATCTACAAAGAAATCCGTTCTCGACGTCTCTTTATGCCGAGGCTGATCTCGGGATTTGCACGCTTGTTTCTGGCACAAATCCTCTGACTGTCAACTCAAATCCAGTCAGTGGGATTCAGACCTTTGTGCAGCTGTTTACAAAAGGCTCAGAACCATGAAGCCACTGAGGGGCGGGTAATGTGGATTTTGCAAAACCGTCAGGTTCTCAAAAGAAGACCAACAGCTGAACTCACAGACTGGAACCAAGAGTCGTGTCAGCACATCCTTGAGAGGCAGGAGTGTGGACGTGTGCCCAGCCTGTTCAATTGCAGCAGAGGCCAAGAGCTCCGAGTGGGTGGGAACAACTGGAGGAATGCGTCCTAGGCTCTGTCCTTGCAACTCAAACGACTGATTTTGCTTTGAAATGAAGGCTGAATCTGTGCTGCTCCAACCGTGTGAGATTCAAACGATGCTGCTGAGGAAGCAGACACCACCTCACCTGTCTGGCGCTGCGGTCTCCCGAGGCACGTCCTCGCTGGAGCTCCACCAGGTCCAGGAAGAGCGACTTGGAGAAGTGGTCTAAGGCGTAGGCAGCTGCCAGATACGGAAGCAAGCGGCATTGCTAGAACAGACAAGACACCTGTGTGAACACACCATGGTTCCCATGAAGGGCAGCCCATCCTAGGGACCGTGAAAGCCAGTGCAGGGAGAGGCCGTCAGGGCCGTGCACCCACGAGTGCTGAAGGTCTCCATGTGTCTTCCCGGCTCATCAGAAAACCTTCATCCTGACACGCTTTCAACTCAGCCAGTTCGGCTTTCCCCCATGGCCCCTGACGGACAACCCCAAACGCAATTCCCTAAACGGCCACTATTCACAGCTGTCCCATCAAAGTCACTACAGAACAAAGTGCCAGTCCATCTGTGAACTCAGAAGGCCGCGCTGCTAGGGGCCAACTCCCCGGCACACGGACTGACTGGCTGACAGCACGTGCCTCATGAGCCTGTGAGGACGAGGCTGTCACCCTGGGACAGATGGGAAAGCTGAGGCCCACACAGAGCTGGCAGCCCCTCGAAAGGCAGAGTGCACGTCTTTTTCACTTTGTCTGAAACAGCATAGGGTCCACCTATTGTTGGATGGGTGGGTGGCTGGGTGGATGGATGGATGCATGTATGGTGGGTGGTGGGTAGGTAGATGCATGGGTGGGTGGATGGATGAATCCGTGGATGGGTAGATGGATGGGTGGGTGGATGTGTGGACAGGTGGGTGGATGCATGGATAGGTGGGTGGATGCATGGATAGGTGGGTGGATGCATGGATGGGTGGGTGGGTGGGTGGCTGGGTACATGGCAGGACAAGCCTGAGAGGATCCTGAGGAAACCGCCATCACCACCATGGTCTAACGTGTCAAGAGTGCTGAGCTGCCATGGCACCAGCTGCCTCCATGCCCTAACTTTTTAAAATCCTCACACTGATCCTAGGAAGAAGTTTTATCATCAGTTCTAATTTACAAATGATAAAATGAGAGCATAGCAAAGCTAAAGACCTTGCCTGAGGGCACAAAGCCAGTTGGGGGTGGGCCTTGGTGGTGAGGTCAAGCATGGTGGCCCCAGTGCGCTCTCTTGACTGCCGAGCTGCCCTTGGCACCCAGAGTGCTGTGACCATACACGGGAGAGGATGGGTGCCACACAGGCATGAACAAGAACACTTACTAAACAGGCTCATAGCTCTGGTCAAAGGATGTGGAAAAAAACAACTGCAATTCTGTTACAATTTCCTCGAAGTTTCACCCAAATCTACCTTTGTTCATGCACAGCTTGGTCCGGGACCTGGGCCTGAGTTAGCCTATGCACTTTAACTGGATTTCCTATTTGATCCTCAGTTCCCCCACCGGTAAAATGGGAGTAATCCCAACCCTCTTAGCTGTGAAGACCAAACCCATGGCACAGGGCTCATGCCCTGCAAGCACCACAGGAACGTTCACTGCGAAAATTCATCCCCCTTCCGTGAAACAACATCTGTGCTTTTCCACACTGCTGCCTGGGCTGCGTGTGTGCACGTCCACAGCTGCCCCGTCTCTGAGGACGTGTAGGGCCCACGCTCTGTGCCCACGCCACTGTTCTAAATGCCATCGCAGTGAACAGGGCTGTACGCTCAGCTGCTGCTTCTTCCAGATCACCTGCCAGGCATCATTTCTTAGGGATGGGATGAAAGTGTCAAAAAGCATGTACAGGGCATGCAAGGCCACTGCCTGCCAAGCTGTGGCGGCCTCACCTGAACGTGCGGCTGTGCACACATCCACCTCCCAGAGCCACCCCATACTTGCTTCCTTCTGGCCGGGTGCGGTGACTCACACCCGGAATCCCAGCACTTTGGGAGGCCGAAGCAGGTGCATCACCTGAGGTCAGGAGTTTGAGACCAGCCTGGCCAAAATGGCGGAACCCTGTCTCTACTAAAAATACAAAAATTAGCCGGGCATGGTGGTGCATGCCGTAATTCCAGCTACTCGGGAGGCTGAGACACGAGAATCACTTGAACCTGGGAGGCGGAGGTTGCAGTGAGCCAAGATCATGCCCACCGCACTCCAGCCTTGGTGACAGAGCAAGACTCCATCTGAAAAAAAAAAAAAAAAAAAAAGACTTGCTTCTTTCTATCGTCCTTATTTTGGCTACTTCACATATACTCTTTTTAAATTAAAAACCATTTACTGGAAGCCTTGTGGCCTGAGGTGCCGCACTCCTGCTAACTAATCATCCTGTTAATTGCCTTAAGAGCTTTGATCAACTCCCAGTAACCAAACTGCAACTATGTAAAAGAAGTGAATTTGCACATAAAATAGAAAGACAATGAAAGGATGCTTGAAAACCCTGTACCTGCATTGGATACTCAAGCACGGCTATTTCCTCCTCCTGGGTGGGTCCAAACTGACGCCGAGTGGCTGAGAAGCGAAGAGCGATGGCTATGGCCAGCTTTAGGTTAACGACGGCCAGGCTCAGGATGGAGACCCGGCCAGAGGACAGGCCCCCCAGGGACACTCCGAAGCGCTGCCTGACGTCCTGCGGAAGGAGTGCAGATGATGAGCGCAAGCCCAGCCGCGCGGCCACCTTGGACAGAGCGGCCTAGAGGCGAAGGTGCCCTCGTTTGTTCATTCAGAGTAGACCGGTGCCCACCTGCCCATGCCTCATCCCCAGGGTGCCCCAGGCACAGGACGGTGCGGCAGCGGGTACAGGTGTCACTGATGAACCGTGGATGGAATGGGGGCACTGGGGAGGGGACACCCAGCTGCCTGGAGAAGGGACAGTCCTCGCAGAGGGAACGGTATGACAGCACTGTTACCCAGTGCTTTGGGGACTTGCAAACCATCTGCCTGGAGATTCCAAGGCCCACCTTTAACCTTGGCAAGAATCAGATGTGGCCTGTACTGCCAGAGGGCAGGGGCGGAGTCCATTAAAGGAAGCCATGCCAGGGGGTTTCACGGACACCTCTCCTTCCCTGTGTGCCTGTCAATAGGCAGCTCCTTTCCGTGCGTCTAGCTGGAATCTTCCATCCACTACCTCCTCACACGCATCACCGGCATCAGCAGCGGCTGTTGCTAAGGCCTGTCCAGGCTGTTGTGGGCACATCCAGTCTACAGCCCTTGCCACGTGATCTGACCGTCCTTCCTGCCCTGCCCCTTGCTGCCCCATCAGGCCCGCTCCTCTGACCATCTAGGTCCTTCTTCCAAGGCAGCATGGTAATTGTGTGTCTGAGTGTATTAATCACACTCTCACACAGGAATCACATCTCATTGTGCTTAAAAACATAGTTAAGCCGGGCGCAGTGGCTCATGCCTGCAATCCCAACACTTTGGGAGGCTGAGGTGGGTGGATCACCTGAGGTCAGGAGTTCAAGACCAGCCTGGCCAACATGGTGAAACCCCGTCTCTACTGAAAATACGTAAATTAGCCAGGCATGGAGGCGGGTGCCTATAGTCCCAGCTACTCGGGAGGCTGACGCAGGAGAATCACTTGAACCTGGGAGGCAGAGGAGACGTTGCAGTGAGCTGAGATTGTGCTGCTGCACTCCAGCCTGTGTGACAGAGCAAGACTCAAGAAATATATATACATATATATTTAAAGTGATTTCCCTTTAAGGGTATAAAATATGATTTCACTGTCTTCATGCATTCACTGTCACGTTTGAGAAATCTGAAGTTCAAGTGTTTTTTATTCCACTGGAGTCAGATCTGGAAGATTCTAGAATTTTCTCTTAGGGATTCCTCAATTTCTCTACCGTGTGCCTGGGTACGTGCATAGGTACTTTCTTACTTTTCCTCTTTGGTCCTCCATGAGTCCCTTCAACCAAAGGCCTTCTTCTCCTCTCTCATTTAGAGACATTTCTCTCCTTTATTTCTCTAAACTTCATTTCTTTCTTTCTTTTTTGAGATGGGGTCTCGCTCTGTTGCCCAGGCTGGGGTGCAGTGGTGCAATCATGGCTCACTGCTGCCTGACCTCCTGGGCTCAAGTTACCCTACCACCTCAGCCTCTCAAGTAGCAGACTACAGGCATGTGCTACCATGCCCAGCTAATTTTTGCATTTTTAGTAGAGATGGGGTTTTGCCACATTGCCCAGGCTGGTCTGGAACTCCTGGGCTCAAGCGATCTGCCCACCTTGGCCTTCCAAAGTCCTAGGGTTACGGGCATGAGCCACTGCACCCAGCCTTCATTTTCTTTAATCCTCTCCTTCTGCCTTCTAGAGGACAAGTTTCCAATCCCTAATTCATCCTCCTGAGATAGTCATCCCATCTGCTGTGCTTGTTCTTCCAGTCACTTTATTTTTAATTGATGTTGGATCTCCGTTTGTGAGCCGCTCCTGGTCTCGTGTTGCTGTTCTCATTCCGGGCACCCTGTGTGTCTCTGGGCATCCCCATCACGCTCCTTCTCCATCGTGCTTCCTGCATGTCAGATGCTGCATGCTGCTGGGAACTGGTATTCCAAGGGTGTGTGCTGGGGGGGGGAGGCCCACCTGCTGTGAGCTCATGATTCCTGAGGGCCATCAGCTACGACCTGGGCCATCGCCCCCCGAGACCATGATCTCTCTTCTGCTCTCCATGAACTTAAACCAGGCGTGAGTTCTGGACACCAGGGGACTCTGTTTGTCGTCCCCCTTTGTGGACAGTTTGCCAGGAGACCCGTTTCCTTTGAATCTTCAGGAAAGCGTCACTGGAAGTGGGCAGTCCTCTAACTGCAGCCCTCGAAGGGGAGTGGGCATTGTCAGACCCAGACTCACCCCCTGTACACCAGCACCTGGTGCTGTGGCTGTCCCGAGTCCCCTTCTAGTGGGAGCACCAGAACCCAAACCAGGAGAAGTATGCCCCAGCAACGCCTGGCCCATGTGGAGGGGTCTCCTTTCCAGGCGCAGGGAGGAGCACAGAGCCAGGCCCTGCAGAGGAAGGCACTGGGAAGTGCGGCACACAAACGGACCCCATGCCTGTACCTTAAAGGGGCTGACATAGGTGCCCTCGGGGGTGACGTCTCCCATCCGGTTCAGGAGGCTCTGGCGAGGAACTCTGACCTTGTGGAACATGGCGAAACTGTGTGGGGAAGCAGCAGGGCTTCTGTTAAAAGGGGGTCCTGCCCTGAGGCTCTTCTCTTCTCCCCCAAGGGCAGCCGAAAAGGTGATGCAATCCCCGAAGACAAAAAAAATGGCAGAGGGCACGCCAGTAGACAGGAACATTCAACCAACTTTCTATTAAAGAAAGTAGTCTAGGCAGGAACAGTGGCTCATGCCCAGAATCCCAACTCTTTGGAAGACCGAGACAGGAGGATTGCTTGAGCCTAGGAGTTCGAGACCAGCCTGGGCAACACAGTGAGACCCTGTTTCTAAAAAAAAAAAAAAAGGCCCGGTGTGGTGGCTGTAATCCCAGCACTTTGGGAGGCCGAGGCAGGAGGATAACCTCAGGTCAGGAGTTTGAAACCAGCCTGACCAATATGATGAAACCTCGTCTCTACTAAAAAAATTAGCCGGGAGTGGTGGCTTGTGCCTGTAGTCCCAGCTACTTAGGAGGCTGAGACAGGAGAATTGTTTGAACCCGGGTGGCGGAGGTTGCAGTAAGCCAAGATCTCGCCACTGCACTCCAGCCTTGGTGACAGAGCAAGACTCCATCTCAAAAATAATATTAATAATAATAATAATAATAAAAGCATTGTGTATATGGTAAGTTGTACTCCAGGTACAGAACTCCAGATATCCAACAGAAAAGACAAGAACTGTGTTTCTAAAGATTGGAATCTCTGATTCTCATACTTCAATCTCAAACCAGAATCCACAATGTGATAATATTGGCAAACTGAGGTTTAAAACTCTTAAGTCAAACAAAATAAGTGGTGTGATGGCATCGGTGCTCCCTCGGCAAGCAAACTCACTTCTTTTGAACAGATGAGCATAGGATTACACATACACACACATTGTTATGGCTCATGATGTGTTAATAACCAGAGATATCTGTTATGGTCGTCTGGTCAGGAAAACCTATTTCACAGCAGTCTAGGGAATAAGGCTGTGCTAGGTTATGAATATTACATAAACTGTGCAAAAACCCCCCAAAACAAACTTCAAAATATCAATAGTTCCTATAGCAACTTATCTGATTCCTAAGATCACATGCAATGCCTTAGGGCAGCAGTCCTCAACCTTTTTGGCACCAGGGACTGGCTTTATGGAAGACAATTTTTCCACAAATGAGGGGGAGGTGGGGGTGGTTTCGGGATGATTCAAGCACATTATATTTATTGTGCACTTTATTTCTATTACTATCACATTGTAACACATAATGAAATAATTATACGATTTGCCATAATGCAGAATCAGTGGGAGCCTGAGCTTGTTTTTCTGCAACTAGATGGTCCCATCTGGGGGTGATGGGAGACACTGACAGATCATCAGGCATTAGATTATCATAAAGAGCAGCACTCACCCTAGATTCCTCACATGCGCAGTTCACAGTAGGATTCACGCTCCTGTAAGAATCTAATGCCGCCAGCGCTCTGACAGGAGGAACAGCTCAGGTGCTCGTGCGAGCAATGGGGAATGGCTCTAAACACAGAGGAAGCTTCGCTGGCTCACTGGATGCTCACCTCCTGCTGGGTGACCTAGTTCCTACCAGGCCACAGACCAGTACTGCGGGCTTGGGGACCCCTGCCTTACACAATAGTCTTTTACTAACCCATGGAAAACACCGTCTACAAAGAACAATCGCACATGCTGGGAGGGAAACGGAGGCACCCCCGTTTCCTGCATGGGCTCTTCCTTTAGTCCTGCTCTGGATGCCCCCATACCCCCGTCGCCACCTGGTCCCAGGCTGTCAGCTCTGCAGGCTGTCAGCTCTGCCGGCCTGGCCCGATTCACTTCCTCCCCTCCATCCCCACCTAGGACCCAGCACCTCCATCCCTACTCAGCTCCCCTGAGCGGATTTCCTGCAACAACCATATTGGCTCTTCCCTAACTCCACCTCTTCAGCCCGTCCTCCCTGTGGGAGCACGGCCCTTTCCCAAAGGCCTTCGGAATGGCAGTGGCCAATGTGGAGAGTCCGCCCAAAGCCGACCTCCGTCTGCCCCTCTAACAGCAACGACGCCTTGCCATGAGGTGGTCCCGCCTGCCTGTGGTGCCCCATCCACCAGGCTCTCTTCTGGCCTCGTGCCCTCCCTGCAGTCACTGTTGACACCAGGCAGCCCTCGGCCCACCTGGGAATTCTGTGCCCCACCCTGGGAAGGATATGAGGCAGACCCCAGGGTGGGGTCCCTCGACCGTCACCTTTCCTGGTTCCTGGGTGAGCTAGCTGCCTCTCAGCAGTCTCCCGGGGCTCACTTCTATGAGGGGGCCACCGTGCATGGGGCCTCCCAGACTTAAGGGACAGGCACATAAGTGGCATGGTATGAACAAGCCAGGTGGGATCAGATGACATCCTCTGAGGCATAAGGGCCAGGCCAGGATCCCAACTCCTGGGACAGCCTGAGGGAGAGACACAGCAGTTTCCATGCTCCCAGAAGGAGCCAGGCCCTGGGGCCGGGTGGGGATGGGGCTGGAGCTCCTTAGGGAAACCTGGGCGACCTGGTGAGGGAAGGGCTCTCAGCCGCTTTGCCGGGCACCTGCCCACCTGCAAGAAGCGAAAGGCAGTGGGGGGGCCAGCTCCTCCAAAGCCCTAGGCCCGACTGCCCAGCTGGGTGGCAGCTTCCCCCATGCCACAGCCGCACACTCAGAACACCCCACCGCGTGAGAAAAACCTTGCCTCGGTGCCAACAGCCCCAGCGTGCTCCAGCCTGTTACTTGAAAGCCACAGAATGCCTTTTCCAGTATGATCTGGTCACAGTCAGCGCGCTTTTCAAGGAGTGGAAATTCTTTGCCCATTCTCACCACACGGAATATATGTATACTTGCAAAAACATTCCCGTGAGTTTCAAGGAAAGCAAACTTCCACGAAGTCTCATGGGATCCCTTCTGTTCCACAGAAGCTCTTCCAGTGGCGGTCAGATGTGGTCAACTCAAACGCAAGCCAGATCCCCGGCGGGCGATGTGTGTGTATGTCACAGGTGTGTGTGCGCACAGCACAGGAGGGGTGTGTGTGTGTCACCGGACATGCATATGGCACAAGAGGCCTGAGTGTGGCGCAGAAACCCTCACCCCAACCCCCAGGAGCGCCCAGGCCTCAGCACTCACCCCGCACCCTGGGCCTCCTGCTTCATATCACAGCAGCTTCCTTCCTCCCTTGGGGCCTCGAAGGGCCCCCCAGCCCAGCCCAGTCTGCCAGAGCAGACCGTTGAGTTTGGCGGGCCTCCTCCCAGCCACCGCCTCAGTTCAGGGCAAACGCAAGGAGAAAGACCCTTAAGTGCAGCCCACCTTAAGAGTCTGGCTGAAACTATCACTTGAAAACATCTTTATGGTTTTGCTTTTAGAGCTATTTGGCTAAAATTAATCCACACAATTTACATTTACCTCGGATTTGTAGGCAGTCATCCCACATACCCAGGAGTTCTTGTAAAGTGACAAAATCTAACCTATAAATTGTAACCACTTTTTTCAAGATAAATGATTTCAACATTGGTAACAAAAATCGCTAAATGATAACGCTGATCTTGGAAAAGATGGACATCCAGGCAGAATTCAGCGGGGAAACCTGGAGGGAACACCGGTATCACTGCGCCCCCTGCTGGGCGCACTGCCCAGACCCGTCAGCCCTGGACGGGAAGGTGCATTTCTGGAAAGGGGCGAGAGCAGGTCTCCAGCATCACCCCTGTTGGCTCCCATCCCAGCCCCACCTCCGCCTTCAAAGGCTCAGGGATCAAAGACGGGCGCATCCCACTGCATCCCTGTCACCCTGCAGAAAGCCACGGTGGGAAGGCTCTGGAGGCATGGGGACCTGGCTTGGTGGAGCAGCTCCGAAGCAGTGTCAAAGGGTTGTTGTCATTGTGTCCATGGCGATCCTATAGCAGAGTGTATTTCTGAGTCTTACAAGAGCCTTTACCGCATCAGTGTGATGTATTAATCATTAATGGTTTGATCTAATGCTCCTTTGAATATTATCCCAGTAAGAGGTGTGGATTCAATCTCTAGAAATACGTTTATTAGGGGGGAACCAAGTGCAGGTTTTCACTGCAATGTCCCAAAATAATGTCAAAGCCTCTCATTCATGAAACTGAAAGAGCAGTGAAGAGCCTTGCTCACACCCGAGGCCGCCCACTGGATGTGACAGTTCACCACCGCCATACGCCCGGGAGGAGACGCCTGCCGGGCCTCACGTGCACACATAGGACACTTCAGTAGATGGGGTAACAGTGCCTGTGGCTGCAGAGACCTGAACGGGATCAGCCAGGTCTAATGAAAGGATGATGCAGGTTCTCCAGAACAACGCAGTGCCTCCCACACCCCATTTCCTGCACGGCGCTTCAGAGCTTCTCACCCCGAGGCCAGAGCCATCCTTCTCAAACAGACCAAACCGCATCACGTTCTCCCGATGGCTGGGGGCTTCCCGCTGCCCTGAGGGCGAAGGGCCTGAATAGCGACCTTCCATACCCGTCACACGGGCACTGTCCCTGCCAAGCGCCTCCCAGGCACCCTGAGAAAGTAGTCATGCAAGAGAATTGGCAGCCGCAGGTCAGGGGTAACGCTCTCCTCCCTGCCAACTCCAACATTAACGAGTAGGTTCCTTGTGTTAATGTTGGTATAGGCCAGTGAGAACCCAGAATTCTGCAGGACAGGTGGAGTTAGGAGGGCTGTGCAAATGTGTCTTGTTTCGCTTTTTTTTTTTTTTTTTTTGCCTGAAATCACAAGAATTTGCTTTTTAACAATGTCCTTTTACTTTCTTCTCAAGTTGACACTGTATACAAATCAATCAAGATTTTCCTCTTTAGTACAGTCTGGGGTCCTGCCTGTTTTAAAGGACTAGCAGAGATCTAAGACACTCCCTGCCTGTCACCCTGACTTCTTAGAAGAGACAGGCAGAAGGCGGTTTCTCCACAGCTGGGCAGATGCCCACTGGCCCACCTTCTCCCTCTGGAGACATCCTGGTCACAACCACCAGTTATTTCCAGCAGCTCCTCAAGGCAGCCTCCTCTCCCCTCCACCAGCCTTGCTATGAAGCCGCATATCTAGAAACGCTCTTGAGACGTCTTGCAGGCCATCAGGCTCAGGCATGGTCACACCTTGTCCCACTCCCCCCAAGCTATAAATCATCTCGTGGGCACAGAGGGGTCTGCACCCTGCTGGGTCAGGCTCTCAGGGAGATGGCGTGTGGAGTCCAGCATTCCCAGTGAGGGAGGCACCAACCGAGCCAGTGGCCAGGAAGTTCAAGCCCGGCCTGCTCAGGCAGGACCTGGCAGGGCCCTGGCACAGGGACCTCTGTTGTCACCTACTTTACGGATGAGGAAATACCAAGAAAGCTGGTCAAGGTGACACAAAGGGCTGGCTGCACACCTATCTCAATCCAAAGGTCATGCTGCTAATGACCCGGAGCCCCAAAATCCAATCCCTCAAAGACCCTCAAGGCCCTTGAGGCCTGGCCTCCCTACCCTGCCCCCATCCCAGCACCCGCCTGGGCCTGACACTTCCCACTGCTCCCTCCACCTGAAACGCTGCACATTCCAGAACCACTGGCCGCTTCTCCCCGGCCACCGAGGCCTCCATGTGGCCATCAAGCATTCATTAGTCTTTCCAGGCCCCTCCCCAAGCCAGGGTGTGCACGCCCATCCCACCCTTCAGCCAGGCCTTGGCCACACCAACCCGGTGTCACATCTGTGCTGCTAAATGGATATCTGTGGGCTGATGAAACAAATAAACTGGCGGAATTCTCTTTCTAACCACTGTGACACTGAGATTACCCGGAAAGGAGCAAGCCCACTCCGGAGGCAGAAACTGCAGATATGGGTCCCTTGAGATCAGCATGGATGTGTGTGGAGGCCGAGCCGGGGGAGGCTCAGGATGCCGGCGAGGACCTCACACAGAGGAGGCAGCCCCCCAGGCAGGGGCCCCACCAGCTGCGCGCAGACGCCTGCGTCTGATCTGAAAGAGGGGAGCCGCCTGCCAAGGTGAAGCTGGTTTGCTGAGGTCTCTGATCAAGCTGGCCTCCCAAAGTGGAGTTCAAGCAGGACATGGCCAGTGCACGCACAGGGGCTAGGCGTAGGTCCCCACAGCGTTTCAGTCTAAGAGGGCAGGGCACGGCACTCATGGGGCCGGTGAGATCTCAGACATGAGCGACACGCAACCTGGGCTTCTGCAGGAAGCTCAGGGCTCAACAGCCTCCATCACTCACCCGTTATCCAGACCGTTCTGCCCGAGTTTCTTCCCCATGTCGCCGACCATCACTCCGGGCATGGGAAGAAGGGTCTTCGGGTCCCGGATCTATACAAAGCCACAGAAAGCAGCAAACAGCAACTGTTACAATCACACAAAAATCAAAACAAGTGTGTTCAGAAACCCACAGGGTGGGCCACGGGCTCAACGCTGGGTGGCTGTGGGTTAAACCATCCTCCAGAAATGATACATCCAAGTCCTAACCCAGGACCTGGGAATGGGAGCTTATTTGGAAATAGTGTCCGGCAGATATAATGAATTTAAGAGCTTCAAGATGAGGTCAACCTGAATCACCCAGGTGGGCCCTAAATCCCACGGCAAGTGTCCTGTGAGAGTCAGAAGAGGAGTGGGCGTGGGGAAGAGGGGGCCACGTGGAGACGGAGGCAGAGTGCAGCGCTGGGGCCACAGGCCTGGGGCCACCAGGAGCTGGAAGAGATAGGAAGGATCCTGCCCTGGAGCCTTCAGAGGGAATGCCACCCTAAAGATTCCTCCATTTCAGACCGCTGGCCTCCAGAGTTGGGAGAGTATATTATGCTGTTCCGAGTACCCTGGTTTGTGATGCTTTGCTGTGGCAGCAGCGAGAGACTAACACGGGGGCCGGTGCTGCTGGGAGGACATCGGGAATTTCATACTCATGTTTTAGACTCAGGACTTCCCGCTAGATCTTAGTAAAGTGATAAAATGGTGCGCAAATAGGTGCAGTGGGAGAAACAGCTATGATTATTCTGGTCAATCACCATGCCCCAAGATACAGGGCCAGCCAGCTGATGGCTGCACACTGTGGGAACCCAAGGGAAAGGACGTGGAGCTTCATCCTTGGGCACTGTTACCACAGGGATTCCCAACCATGGGACGCGCCACCTTCCCCTTCCCCACCAGGGGACACGGGTGGTGTCTGGAGAGATTCTGGTTGTCTTCACTGGAGGGAGCTTTGACACAGAATGGGCAGAAGCCAGAGGTTCTCAGCCCAGCCCAGGCACACAGGGCGCCCCAGTGAGCGCTACCCAGCCCAAACTGTCACCAGAGCCAAAGTGGAAAAGCTGCTTTAGAGAAACATGGAAGTGGTGCTGCTGGGAATGTAGCTATGTGCATGACCTGCTAGCTGGCTTCTGTTTATGTCTGTGAATTCACCATCTAACTTCACTGAACTCTAAAATAAAGAAACACTCCAAAAGGGCTAAAACCCAAATGTAAACATCCTCTCCTTTTCTAAAAGTTTTCAGCAAGACCCAATAAAGATTTAGACACCGTCTCTCTCTCACACACACACACAAAAAAGAAGAAAGAAACCTGCAAAAGATGCCCGCCCCTCCACCCATCAGCTCAGGTCTGGGACACGGAGCACAATCCTGTCCAAATGACCCCAAGACCACCGTTTCCATCCCTCCTTATCAGGCAGGAGGCCGTGGCTCTGGGAGGGGACTCAGGTGTCCTGAGCACTTGGTGCAGTGGCGCTCCGACGGCGAAAGGAGCGACACAATCCTGCGGAGTGTTTTTAGCACAACATGAATGAGTCTAAAACACTGCGGTTCTATGGCCCAAAAGTCAGACACGCCGAAAGCTGCCGAATTCTAGTCCAGGCAACTCCACTCCAGGTAGAAATCTATAATCACAGAAACAAGGTAAACGGGCCTCAGGTAACTATGATGCTGTCATAAAGACATATTTGGCCTTGTCCCTGCTTCCCAGCACACAACTCCTAAAACCCTTGACTCTCTGCAGTGGTGAGAGTCTTGTGCGTGCTCATGAGATGGCTGCAGACCCCTAGGTAGCTTCAGGATGAAGACCAAGGTGCAATTAGGGGGTTGGTCAGAGGCACAGGCCACAACCTGGACTTGCCATCGGCATCCAAAGGGTTGGGGAGCTTCTGTGGGACTGAGCCCTCACTGTGGGGGTCTGAGGCTCACCCCAGGTGAACAGCATCAGTATGGAGTTAAATTAGAGGACGCCTAGCTGCTTTCTGCTGCAGAGCTGCGTGCTGGTGGGGAGAAACCCACACACATCTAATGTCAGAGCATTGTGTTGGCTGCATGACAGTAGGAAAACCATTTCGGTTTTGTCCTGTATCCTTAAAATGAAAAAAATCTCTCTGGTCTGCATTAGCTCAAACATCAGGTCAACTGAAAATTAACATGAGCAACAAAAGAAAAAAAGAAACATAAAACTGGACTTCATCAAAATTGAAAAACTTTGTGCATCAAATCAACTGGATGGTCTCAGCCGGAAGCCTTGGCCAGGCCCTCTCAGCTGTGTCACTGGGGGATATTGGGCTGGTTGGTTCTTTCTAAGGCAAGGGCAGGGCTGTCTGCACCATGGGCGGAGCTGCAGGATACACTGTGGGTGGGGCTGCCTGTGCACCGTGGGAGGGGCTGTGGGATATACCATAGGCGGGGCTGTCTGCACTGTGGGCGGGGCTGTCTGTACACTGTGGGAGGAGCTGTCTGTGCACTGCGGGTGGGGCGGTAGGATACACTTTGGGCAGGCCTGTCTGTGCACCGTGGGCAGGGCTATCTGTACTGTGGGTGGGGCTGTGTGTGCACTGCAGGTGGGGCTGTAGGACACTGTGGGCGGGGCTGTGGGATACACTGTGAGCCGGGCTGTCTGTGCACTGTGGGCAGGGCTATCTGCACTGTGGGCGGGGCTGCCTGCACTGTGGGCGGGGCTATGGGATGCATTGTGGGGTGCTCAGCAGCGTCCCTGGTCCACTCACCAGATGCCAGAAGCATCCCCCACCCTAGTTATGACAAAAATGACTCCGGACATTCCCAATGCCTCCTGGGGGTAAACACTGCCCCCACTGAGGGCCACCCCAGTGTCCTACCTGCACGATAAAGGGATGCAGCCCATGGCACTGGTCCCCCGGCACGTGCAGCTTAGCAAACACCACTGCGTGAGTGGCTGTCTTGCCCATGTTGCCAACCCAAAATTTGGCAGCTTCGAAATCAGGGGAATGTATGATGAATTCCTGCACAAGGGAAAAAGGTTGGTTATAATTAGCAAGTGAAGCACATGCAGAATTGGTGTTTTCCTTTTAGACAGGCTCCATTTTCTACGTTCAAAATCTCTGAGGCAAGAGTCGAAACGGATCGCACATTTCAGCTCTTGTATGGCACGGGCAGGCCTCTTTTTTAAACAGAGCCTATTCCTGGGCCTTATGACTTAAAGAACCTTCAGATGCAAATTGCTCCACAGGCAGGCAAATGCTTCTGGCGAGCTTTCATTATTGTGCACAGTCCTCCGTCCCTGACCACACCCCTCAGGTGGAAACCCCGCCCTGCAGTCCACTCAGTCCTTTAGGACATCTAATTCACAACACCCCGCTGCCCTCTGGCTCTCTCTCCCATCCACAGCTCCATGATTGACAGTTACATCCCAAACGCCCCGAGCACAAGGCAGCCGCTCAGCGCATCAGAAGGAAGGGAGGAATGAACGCATGCGTGAACTAGCAGAAGGGCTGTGGCATCACAGCGTTCGGGGTTTGGCTAGAAGGGGTGTGGACGGACCCCCCAGGAACACTGAGGGTGCTGCCTGGGTCGGGAGCGAAGAGCACGTGGGAACAGGCAGGAGCTGGACCGCTGGGGCTGGGCCTGCCCCAGGGGTGTCTGCTGGGAGCCCCGTGAGTAAGGCTGGGAGGGAGGATGTGGACCAGCAGCACTGTGTAACGTGGCCGGGATCTGCAAGGGAACAAAGATGAGCGCCTTCAGGCAGACAGCCTACAGGTGGCCCACAGAGCCGCCCTGGGCCGCCTTGGGAGACACCGATCCTCCACACGGGGCTTGCCAGTCACTGCGAGGGGCTGTCAGCGGTAAGTTTTGGTTCTGGTTCCAGCCCCTGCAGGGTGGGAGGTGCCCAGGAGGGCTTCCTCCTGTCCAGCCAGTGGGACTCTGTAAACCGAGAGTAGCGAACAATCATCCTACAGGTTCTGAAGTTTCACTGAGAAGTAGGAGGTGGGGTGGCTGCCAGCCATGCCTTCTGTTCTCTTCTCTCAGGGGACCACCAGCTCTTTGCCTGCCAGAGTGAGGAGGGCTCCCAGTCTCAGCCAGGCTCTCCCCATTCACTCTTCAGCACGTGGCAGTTCTGATACCTCCACCTGTCACTCATTCTCCGCAGTGCAGGTGTGCACTGCAACACCAGCCCAAGCCGGTTCTTCGGGGTCTGCCCTCCTCCACACAGATCTTTCCCACCGTCTCAGCTGTCTGGCTGCCTCCTGTGCCCCGGCATACCAGCTTTGCTCTCCGGAAGGCCTCCATGGCACCTGGCACACCTCACTTCTCCCTGCTGGTGTCTGTGTCTCCCCCCGGCCCACAGCTTCAGGATAGCAGAGACCTGTCTGCTGTGCTCACCACTTCCTGCCCAGTCTCAGAAAGCTGTGCCTCCCACACAGCAGGTACCCAGCAATGCCTGTTGTCCAAATAAATGCTCAGCCAGCAGCCCAGCCTGGATCCCAAGCACCCCAACTCTATGGATCTGAGGCCACACTCTGACCTCCGCTTAGGGATCAAATGCCAAGAAGGAGGTGGAAATGGGAACTGGTCCTCTGATACCCTACCCCAAGGCTACCTGGGTGCTGTCGTCCATCTGACTGTCAGAAAGGGCCCTACCTCCTGGCACTGCAGGCCACAGGCAAAGAGGGCAGCAGGAGGAGAAGCAGCCATGGGGCGAGAAAGACCTGCATTCAGATAAAGATATCTTGTGGCTTAAAAGAAAGTTCCCAAGAGAGCCTCATGCCCTACTTTACTCCCAGTCCCACTCTGAGCAGGAGCCTTGGCCCCACTCCCAAGGCCCCACAGCAGGGGCACCCTGTGAGAGGACCACCTCTTATCCCTGCTGGGCCAGGGGTCCACTTGGGTTCATTACTGGGCTCTTCCATGCAGTACCCCAGGCAGAGTCCACACAGCCCATGCTGTGGAATGAATGGATGGATGGAAGAATGAATGGATGGATGAGAGAATGAATGGATGGATGGAAGAATGAATGGATGGATGAAAGAATGAATGGACGGATGGAAGAATGAATGGATGAATGAGAGAATGAATGGATGGATGGAAGAATGAATGGATGGATGAAAGAATGAATGGACGAATGGAAGAATGAATGGATGGATGAGAGAATGGATGGAAGAATGAATGGATGGATGGAAGAATGAATGGATGGAAGAAAGAATGGATGGATGAAAGAATGATGGATGGATGACCATTGAGCATATCTGCAGGTGCAGAGCTTCACTTCCTGCCACACAACAGTCCTCCCTGACCACTGCCAACAGGAGAGGGTGGAAGGCGGGTGAGGAAAGACTGGCAGGGAGACCTGGGCCTCAGGGACAAGCGGAGGCCAAGGAGAGTGATGTGGCGGCAGGGAGGCAGGGCCAGGGGAACAGAGCGGGGTGGATGGAGACCCTCCCCATCCTCCGTCCCAGGCTTGCACCCCTCCACAACACTGACAGCCCCAGGGCATCCATTTGTAGCCCATCTCCCTCCACCCCTGCAACCCTCCTCAGCACTGACAGCCCCAGAGCATCCATCTGTGGCCCATCTCCCTCCACTCCTGCACCCCTCCTCAGCACTGACAGCCCCAGGGCAACCATCTGTGGCCCGTCTCCCTCTACCACACCGGAAGCTCCCAGGCAGTGGACTCGATGCAGGTACCAGAGAGGTCAAGAGGATGGCAAGGGCCCGAGGAATCAGACTGCGGTGGCAGAAATGGACAAGGCAGGCTGTTCGCAGAGGGAGAGCCACAAAGGGCAGAGGGCAGGGAGCATGTTGTATCCACGGGGCCCAGCGTAGAAACCACGGGCCATGTGAACAGTTTATGAATCCACTATAATAGGCAGCCAGGTAAACAAGGCAATAAATTTTACAGAATGAGGGCTTCTTCGCTGCACTCAAATTACACACAAAACCAAACCACGATCAACTCCCCATAAAGCTCGTGGTGGGCACAGGCTTTGTCTTCCAACGCCTGGTCTCCCGAGCCCCACTTTTCAGTGTGATGAATCTCAGTGTGTATTTCTACATACATGTATGTGGACAGGCCTCTTGCTTTAATTTTTTTTCTTATTCCTGGCAACCACATTCGCACTCGTGACATCTCATACGCTCCAAACCCAGGGAGCCAGCGGAAGGTAACACCTACCTTAGTGGCAGGATCGTAGTGGGCAGTCGTACGAATGGCCTTGGTATTACTGCCGTGGCTTAGCTCAGTCAGAGCAAAACATCCAAAAATCTAAAAGTCAAAGCACAAAACGATGGAAAGCAAGAAAAGTTCTTTGTGCACATGCCCAGAAGGCATGTGCTGCCAACTTTCCTTTAAAGATGAAACCACATATCAAAGCCCCAAATTTCCATCTACCCAACTAGTGACTTGACTGAGTCGTGCTGCCACGCTTGGCTGGCAACCACAGCAGCCTAAACCAAGCTGACCGCAGCTGCTCCAACTCAGCAAGGTGGCAGGAACTGCTTGTCAGGAGAAGACAGTGGAAGGCCTCAGCGACAATTCACCTGGTGCTGAGGAAGTCAATGTGCCTGTGTTTGCTAAAGAACAGTGCTAGCTAATTGGTGAGAAGCCTGAGAACACTAGGAAACAAGAAGAGCATGAGCCCCCTAGGCACCCACTACTACAATCATCCCTTTTCACAAATCTCTACGGAGATCAAGCAAGAGAATTAGGCTCACAATTCCCCGGGAGCCAGAACTTACTTCCATACTGAAGATCTTTTGAATATAGGTGAGATGTCTTTCAGAACCAGAACTGTAAACTGCTGATCCAAAAACCTGAAAGTATAACATTGTCCTATCAACAAGGGCAGGTAAGAAGAGTACGGCTCTTCCGGAACATCACAACAGACGACGGCACGCTAACACCACGCCCACCCTGGTTCCCCGCCACAATGCACTTTCCCTGAGGTGGAGAACGAAGCAACGAGAGGTTAGCCAGCAGCCCGGATGCCCCAGGCCAGGGTCTCCCCACACACAGCGGCCCGGGTCCCTGAGTTCATGTGAGTGGTAAGACCTGTGTCCCTGTGCCGAGCAGCTTGTGTAAGGCACACGGAATCACTTGGGACTTAAGATGCCTGCAAGGAGTCCTGGGGGTCTGAGGACAGCAGGGAGACAGAACAGGAGGCTGTGTGGAGCGCAGAGGCCACAGGCCCGTCAAACATTGCAGGCAAGGCTACGGGCAAAGCCATTTTGCCCAAGCTCAGCTCTGCTGGTATGTTACAAAGGAAGGAAAACACAGGTTTCTTACTTTGGCCTACTTTTTTTTTTTTTTTTTTTAATCATTTGTCTCTTTTTTTGTATGAGGCAAACAAACAAAAAAAAAAAAACAAAAAAAAAAGTCCCACCAGCTCCTCTTCTGATGGGACTTGAAGCTTCACCACATTGTATTTTATTCAAGGACTTATGTGTGTAAATTTGCAAATACATGATGGTGGATGGGCTTGAAAATAAAAGAATGAAAAGGGGGACTGAAAATTTTTAAAAAAACATTAAAAAAGATAATTTAAAAAATTTGCAAATATAGCTGGAAACACTGGAGCTTCTCTGCCTCCCGGTTGGCCCTGGGACAGGCATCCCTCAAGGCTCAGCACAGCAGGTGAAAGCCGTGTCCTTCTCCCCTAGGCCGCACGCTCACCAAGGTATGGAGGAGGTACTTGGCAGCCAGAGAAGAGTCATACATCCCCAGGCACTGAATCAAGGCGGGGACCTTCAGAGGGCTCTTGAACATGTCTTCAACACTGAGGAAGTCATACTCGAAGATCCGCTTGCATCGAAGGAAGTTCAGCTCACGATACTTGTCCAAGGACAGATCGGCTCCAGGGGAACGGGCGAAAAGAGGGTCGTTCTCGAGAGCTGAGAAGATGGTTTTCTGGAAATGCAGGAGATGGGGAAGGTTTATTTGGAGTAAAAGATGAACTCTCCATGTGTCCTTATATAGTTTACCTCCAGGTCACAGGCTTCATGGGATGCTGTCTGACTTAAGAGACACACAGACAGAGATACGACTATCATTCCCAACAGACTAGAGGGCTGCAGGCTTAAGAAACATCAACAATCCATGTTCATTTCCAGACTCCTCATCGGTTCCCTGAGGCCTATCCTGGGGTGCAGAAAGGAGAGCGGCTGCGCTGCCTGGGATGAGCCTCACCCGGCAGAGGGGGAGCTGTAAGAGCCAGAAATTCCATTGTGCTAATGAATTAAGACCCCACCGGGAAAAAAGACAAGCTGCACGCAACCGCACACCTCACCTTAAAGCGGAGCATGTCCTCCCCTTCCATGAACAGCGCCAGCTCCTTCCAGCTGAAGGATGCTCTTGCCCGGTAGGCGTCCAGGGGTCCCCTGGGGAATTCTGGGAGCAGAGCTGCGTCACCTCCTTCTACAGTGGGTGCCATCGTCTGACGAGAGCCTGCACAAAACATGCAGCCTGAATCCATGCGCTCCCATCTGTGGGTTCAAATCACCCCCACCAACAGGAGAGCCGGCAACACCTTACAAGTTGGAGAAAAGTAAACTCGAAATCCAAAAGGACAGCAAAAGAGAATCACCCTGTGAATGGCTAGCATCATTTTCCCAAAAGAAAAGGCAAGAAGAATTCCCTCATCCACTCCTGAACACAGATGCCAAGGACACAGAAGACAGCCAGGCACAGCTGGGGGATCACCAGGCACACAGCGCAGAGGGTTCGTCGGAGGCCTTGCTTTCTGTTGCACGGCCTTGCCTGAGAGCACTGTGCCCTCTCGGGAGCACGCTGGACATCCAGACCCATCCCCAAGGCTCACTAAACCCAGGGTCAGGAAGCATCCCCTCTGGAATCCAGCCAGTGCCAGCTAGTCCACTCTGGCCACACACGATGGTGCCTCACATCCCCACCCACTGCCGCCGGCCCACCTGGACACAGGACCTCTGGCACAGGCTTCTGCCCTGATTTCCCCTCGACATATAGACACCTGGCTTCCCGCTAACACAGCAGGCCTCTCAAACTCAGCTCTCTTGACCAAATAACCGTTCTGGAATTTTCTGGATAGACTGGGTCCTTTTCCAAGTGGCTTGGCTGATGAAGGTATTGAAGGGAATGGCTAGTGAACCCAGGTCTGGCTGAGTCCTGGGCGTGGGCCCCCCACCTTCACTCTTTAAGGCCTAGAGGAAAGAGGAACTTTTGAGTCCTTTGAGCTGAAACAGCCTGCAGTGCTGGAGCCTGAGTCTGGCTTGCTCTTCTGTCCTATCCTTCCTTAGAATCGGAGGAAAGTACTGGGCACCGGCCGGCCGGTTAAAAACGATTAGCGTGGCCGCCGGACTTAAGACTCAGGTGTGAGGCTTTCTGGGAAAAGGCTTTCTAACAACCCCCAACCCTTCTGGGTTGAGCATTGGTCTGCTGGAACCAGCTTCCACTTCCACAATTTTCTTGGGGAAGCCATGGGCTGACTAGAGGCTGTCACCCCAAACTCCCGGCATTGGCAGGTCCAGATCACGGCACAGCCAGAAGTCTCTACTCAACAGTGGCCCATGCGCGCGCCCTCTCTCTCCTCTGACCCATACCTCCTGCGTCCCAACCACGACTTTCTTGAAAGTGTAGCCCCCAAAATTCTCCTTACCTCTGAATCTACTTCCTCTGATCTCTCCTAGGTACTAATGCTTCAGACTTTCACTTCCTCTCCCAAGTATTAAAGCAAGTTGTATCTCCAAAGGGATCTAAGGAAGCTCTACGCTGTGTCCTCAGGCACCTAGGATATGAACCCAGACAGTCTTGTCCCTGGCGTCCCTCCCAATTTAGGTATACAGCTCTCGACGTGGGCAGTTATGTGGGACCTACCACTGTTGCCAGGGCCCCAAGTTTGTAAATGGCTAGGAGGATTGCTCTCCCGTTGTGTAAGATGCTCTCCTCCCCCAGTTTCTACCCAGCTTACCTCCCCCACTGCAATACAATCTCTAAGCCTTAGCTCCTTGGCCAGGGCCTTAGAACTGATGACCCAGTACTTTAACAACTGGAATTATGTCTACAACAACACAACAGATCAGGATGAAAGCGAATTGAGTAAATTAAAGGGAGGCACGGGGAGGGGGGAGGGATAGCATTAGGAGATATACCTAATGTAAATGACGAGTTAATGGGTGCAGCACACCAACATGGCACATGTATACCTATGTAACAAACCTGCACGTTGTGCACACGTACCCTAGAACTTAAATTTAAAAAAAAAAAAAAAAGGGAGGCACATGTTCCTATAGTGGCAAATGGGGCAACGAGCAAATGTACTTCCGCTGTGTTCCCAAACTCCATCTACCAAGAGAGAAAAAGAGAGGGAAAGAGAAATAGAGAGAGAGAAGAGAGAGAAAGAGACAGAGGGGGAAAAGAGAAGGGCAGAAAGTCAGAGAGAGAAAGAGAGAGACGAAAAGTAAAAGAGAGAAAGGAAGAGAGAGATATACAAGTAGTTAAGAAAAAAACAGTGCACCCCATTCCTTTAAAAGCCGGGGTAAATTAAAAACCTATAATTGATAATTGAAGGTCTTCTCCGTGACCCTGTAACACTCCAATACCACCTTGTTGTCAGTTAAACAGTGTAATGCAGACATCAGGAAAAAAAACTTCAAAACTCCATCTTAGGCCAGAGGAAAACTTACAAACCCTATTGAACTTGGCAACCTCAGTTTTTTTTTAAATAGAGATCACGAGGAGCAGGCAAACGCTATTGAACTTGGCAACCTCGGTTTTTTTTTTTTACAAGAGATCAGGAGGAGCAGGCGGAACTGGACAAATGGGCCCTCAGGCTAGCGGACGTTTGCTTTGCTACTATAGGAATATGCACCTCGCTTTAATTTACTCAACTGCTTTCATCCTGATCTATTGTGTTGTCGTAGACATAGTTCCTGTTGTTAAAGTACTGGGTCATCAGTTGAGGCCCTGACCAAGGAACCAAGGCTTGGAGATTGTATCGCAGTGGGGGAGGTAAGCTGGGTAGAAATTAGGGGAGGAGACTTTGGAGGCTCTGGAAAGGGGAAAGGCTGGGCAAATTGAATGCCTAATAGGGCTTGCTTGCAGTGCGGTCTACAAGGACACTTTCAGAAAGACTGTCTGAATAGAAATAAGCCGCCCCCTCATCCATGCCCCTTATGTCAAGGAAATCACTGGAAGACCCATTGCCCCAGGGGACGAAGGTCCTCTCAGTCAGAAGCCACTAACCAGATGATCCAGCAGCAGGACTGAGGGTACCCGGGGCAATCGCTAGCCCATGCCATCACCCTCACAGAGCGCCAGGTATGCTTGACCATTCAGGGCCATGCCACTGTACTACCAGCTCCCCTTACCAAGAGTTTCTATGGAGAATGTGGCTTCCCAGAAATACTGATGCCCCATCATACAGGAGTTTTTCTAAAGGAAACCCCACTTTCACCGCCCACACCTATATGCCCCTGCACTTCAGGCCATACATTTCAATCCCTGTATCTTTAACCTCCTTGTTAAATTTGTCTCTTTCAGAAATCAAAGCTGTAAAACTACAAATGGTTCTTCAAATGGAGCCCCAAATGCAGTCCATGCCTAAGATCTACAACGGACCCACGGACTGGCCTGCTAGCCCACGCTCCGATGTTGATGACATCGAAGGCACCCCTCCTGAGGATATCTCAACGGCACAACCCCTACTACGCCTCAATTCAACAGGAAGCAGTTAGAGTGGTCGTCACCCAACCTCCCTAACAGCACTTGGGTTTTCCTGTTGAGAGGGGCACTAAGAGACAAGACTAGCTGATTTCCTAGGCCAACTAAGAATTCCTAAGCCTAGCTGGGGAAGGTGACCACACTCACCTTTAAACATGGGGCTTGTAACTCAGCTCACACCCAATCAATCAGGTAGTAAAGAGAGCTCACTAAAATACCAGTGACGCTAACAACAGGAGGTAAAGAAATAATCTGATCATCTATCATCTGAGAGCACAGGGGGAGGGACAACGATCAGGATATAAACCCAGGCATTCAGGACGAATCAGGCAACCCCCTTTGGGTCCTCTCCCATTGTACAGGGAGCTCTGTTTTCACTCTATTAAATCTTGCAACTGCACAGTCTTCTGGTCCGTGTTTGTCCGGGCTTGAACTGAGCTTTCGCTTGCCACCCACCACTGCTGATGGCGGCTGTTGCAGACCCGCCGCTGACTTCCACCCCTCGGGATCCAGCAGGGTGGCCGCTGCGCTCTGATCCAGCGAGGCACCCATTACCGCTCCCAGGCTAGAGGCTCGCCACTGTTCCTGCGTGGCTAAGTGCCTGGGTTCCTCCTAATCGAGCTGAACACTAGTCACTGGGTTCCATGGTTCTCTTCCGTGACGCACAGCTTCTCATAAAGTTATAACACTCACTGCATGGCCCAAGGTTCCATTGCTTGGAATCCCTGAGGCCAAGAGCCCCAAGTCAGAGAGCAAAAGGCTTGCCGCCACCTTGGGAGCCGCCCGCCACCACCTTGGGAGCTCTGGGAGCAAAGACCCACCAATAACTATGCCTGGATAGTGCCCAGCGTCTAGACAGGGTCTACTGTGTGGGCTGCTACATTCCAAATACGGTGAGGTCTGGCTAGTGCCCAGGGTCTACTGTCTGGGCTGCTGCATTCCAAATACAGTGACGCCTGCCTAGTGCCCAGGGTCTACCATCTAGGCTGCTGTCATTCATATGAGAGGCTCCGAGCAGCTTCTGGCATGGAAGTGGGGGCTTCAAGATCACTATTCTGGCAACAGCCTCCACCACTCTTCTCCCTGTGGTGCGGATCACTCTCCCTTTCCTGAACAGCTGCCCAGTTCAATGTGCAAAGCCCTCCGAACGCCCAGCACGTGGGCCACCTGCACTCCCGGCCCCTGCTCTGTGTAACCCTGGCCCCGCCACCCGCCAATCCGCACAGCTCCCACGCCCCAGGGCCTGGCATGTGCGGTGCCCCCTCTCCCGACCCGCCGCGACCGCGCCCCGGGGGCTAACGCAGCCTCTACCTTCGGGCTCGCCAGTCCCCGCTGCTTTGCACGGTCCAACTCACGAAATAGGCGCTCAGGGGATGCCTGTCGGGCCGCGACCAACCCGGCAAGATGAGGACTAGCTGCCGGCGCAGCGCTGCTGTCTCCAGCCTGGCCCCACTGCTGTCCCGCAGTGCCTCTCGGCCTCCGTCCGTCCCATGGGCGGGACCGGGGACGCGGGCGCCCTGACGTCATCGTGCCGCGCCACCTTCGTCGCCCGGGAAACGTGGACGCCGCTGCCACCCGGGCAGGGCCGGGAACCAGGAAGCTTCGCCTAGGCGCTCCGGGCACTCTTGGTTTCTCCGCCTTTAGCCAACCCCTGGCTGACCGACTCTGGCGAGTCGCTGCCCTCTCGGAGCGCCGTAGTTCTGAGATGCAGTTCACACCCCGGCCCTTCCTGGGGCCCACTCCAAGGCTAC